ATCGGTTGTCGTCCCAGACGTGATCTACATAAGATGTTAATGACAACATAATCATGTGAGAATCCCACTGTAATCTAACCATTAAGTTGAAATTGCAAAATGAGGATAAATTGGACACATGACTGACATTTTGACTATCACAGCTTGAATGAAAAAAATACAGGCAGGGCCTGGTTGAATATTTAGCAGGTTATTTGAAAGTCAGACTGACGTGTCATTGCTAGGTTTGTCATCTGTAAGGCTATTCCACTGTTCACTCCTCTGTCACCTTCAATGGGTCATCATCATTACATCCTGGTTCATCCTTTCTCAGTCCTGAAATCCACCCATTAGCTGTAGCAGACGTCAAAGGCAATCACCACACCATGCCGCTCTCACACTTTTCAACATGCTGGTCCATCCCTTCCTATCCAGTCATCCACTCCTGCAACTGAAGCAGGCTTCAAGGACAATCACTATGTCCACCGTGCCATTCATCCTGTCCACATCATTTGTTTCATCCCTTCCTATCCAGTCATCCACTCCTGGAACTGATGCAGGCTTCAAGGACAATCACTATGTCTGCTTTGCCATTCATCCTGTCACCATCTGTGTGCTTAATCCCTTCCCATCCTGTCAAGCACTCCTTTAGCCACTGGAAATTCCAAGAACTATGCCTGTGTTCAAGCTCTCAACAAAACACAACTTCATCTCTTCTCTGTCCTCCACCCTCCCAGTTTTGTCCCTACCCTATACTACCTGTGAAGATCTGGGTTATGCTCATGCTGTTGATCACTGGATTGTGTGGTCCAGACTGGATCATATACATACCGCCACCATATAGCTGGAATATTGCTGAGTGTGGCGTTTAACAACAAACAAGCCATCCCTACCCTATATTTCTTTCATATGCAGTATGCATACTATAATGTCTTGCTGTAACCATTCTACTCCTCAATGTTGCTTATCTGCTCTAATGCTTGATGTCTGTCACACCAAAAAGGCATTGATTTCCCCCATCTATTCTCTCTTGAAACACACTACCAAACAAGTCTCAAAACCAATTTACAGCAAATCCCTTATTTTCCGACACAACAGTCAGTATTTGACTGTACATCTATGTCCTTGGCACTGAGATATCTAACTGTTATGCAAATGTGTGATAATACTGTATGTCATAAAAACATGAAAAAAGGTTCATTTTCAATTAAACACATTGCAATATTGGCCTGTTCAGGTGTATTTCAGATGTGAGTGAGTGAGTTTGGTTTTAGGCAGCAATATCAAGGCAGGTGGGAACCAGAAATGAGCTTAACATATTGTACCCCTGTATGGAATCGAACCCTGGTTTTCAGGCATGATGAGCGAAGGCTTTAACAACAAGACTACCCCATCGCCCCATTTCAAATCAGAAAACCAGAACGAAAAATTGAAATATACTTTGACAAGTAAAGTTATTACTACAACTACAGTGACCTACAAAGCATGGACTTTGCAGTCTCCTCTCTCACTCCATAGGTTGAGCCACGGTAAATGTCAGTGTATCAATCAGTACACAAGCAGCAGGTTCCCTCCAGCTGGCTGTCAACTGACACACATTCTCACCAAATACACACCATTATCTCACACCCTATCACAAAATAATTTACACTTGTTTGTCTCACAACTATTCATCAGGATGTTTTTGAAAGGTCTTGTTAGATTTTTCCATTCATCTCTAAGCCGTTTAAACTATATACGTAGAGGTATATTGAGTAAGAATAATATTGTACATTTAACATGTGTCCAAACTAAATGAGAACGGCTGCTGAATAAAATACAAGGAAGAATAATGACCAAAATATAACATTGGAATTGCATTTAATAATCAAAAGGTGGGGTTTTAAACACTGCTACAGCACCTAAGAAACAGGTAGGTTTTTGAGGTTTTCAAGACTGGGACAGATATTAGCTGTATCGACAAGGAGTTCCATACAACATGGGGTATTTTCTGTAATGACTACCAGAGGAAAGTGTGGAAAACTTTTGGATAAAGGAAAGCATAGATGTTTCCCCGTCATTCCAGCCAGATTTTAACAGAAAAACACTGATTACATTCCTAATAACCTTTTTCTTTTCTTTCCTTCAAAAAACTTACATCAAACTCACAGGCAAAATGTGCAAGGATTGGATAAACAAGTGAAACATGGAAGAAACAAGTCAAACATGTATGAGCAAATGTCCCTACGCTGAGATGCTCTTGAAGTTTCCCATTTCCCTGACACTGGTTCGCACATCCATGGCAAGGGACCCCTCGGCACTGATGAGGTCAGCCATATACAGATCCTGGTTCTCAAAGGCATTGATGTACCACAGGACCTTCTTTAAGTCCAGATTGATGACAAGGCTGATGATTTGTTTACCCTGGAAGAATGGCACTGAGTCTATGACAACATGATCCTCGCCATTGAGGAAGGTGGACTCGACGGTGTTGCCTGTGGCCCAGTAGAGTCTCCCAGCAGCGGAGTCAATAGCCATGTCGCGAGCAGTTGCCTGGTATATGAAGTCGCTGGACATACTGTTGATGTCGGACCTCTTGATCTGCGGAGGAATAACAAGTGAACCATAGGTGAGTGAGTGAGTTAAAATTTTACATCACATCGTCAATAGAAGGACAGTATAACAACTAGATTTATCACATATTTTTAAAACTAGTTTGTGAGCATGTAAAGATTTTTAACTATCAATAATTATTGACAAACATTGTATAAAAAGGGGATAGAGATTGCTAACAACCAAAGTGATGCCATTATGCTTAGGGCCGTGAGGACAATACTTCTGCTTCGTGCACAGTTCCCCAGCAGGATTTATACCATCCCTTCAGCTGCTAGCATAGGTGAAACTCCACTATGTTTAGTCTTTACTGGTGAAACAATAAAAAACCATACTGCAGCACTGACTACAGCTCAACCAGGGTTTACACTGCTCTTTCAGGAACTTCATTAAAGGCTTAATCTGGCCCCGGACATGCATTGATCACAAATTTCAACACTTTGTCAAATCCTTCCACAAGTTGGATTTCCCAAGTTTAATCCTTAATATCAAAATCTATAAGTGACATTTTAGAAGCTGTAGTATCAAAAGAATCTTAATGATTAAACAATGTTTTAAAACACATGCTTCCATCCCTTACTTGATAAAGGTACACAAACGATCTTTGTGCAACAAGTTCATAAATCTAGGTTAAAAGATGGCAGCTGTGATCGTCATGGCGATAAGGGAATGGTACCCTGTTCACTTACAGTTGTTGATATCTAACAGTCAGTCATGCCTTCCCTAATATCCAGTACAAGTACATACCACTGCCGGCTGATACTCGGACCAGAATATCTTCTTGCCAAACCAGTCATACTCAAGACAGGAAGCTTCACCAGTCTGGGCCATATTTGTCCGTATCTGCTTTGTGTGGTCCAGGATTTGGACATAGCCACCATCTTTGGATACCCACATGAGCATGTTGTTATGCCAGGCTATGTCTGGGAAAGTAAAACAAATAATAAGTTCATTTATGTTTTCCTAAACCAAAATGTAACAAGGCAACACCTATAACTATAACAGATCCTGTGTGGATGGAATGGATATGCTGAATGATGTCCCAAATTTATACTCTTGGCGAAAGTTTTGTTTCAATGATTAAATAAGGTGTCTGTGGTAATATTATTGTTTCCATATTAAATGATTAGTTTCAATGTTTTTGCAATTATTGAATCATAAGAGAGTAGAAAACAGCGTTGGGTTCATTAAATTGGTTTCATTATTTACACAATGTGATCACCAATTTTAATATGCATTCCTCCATGAAAGAATATTGAAACATATTCAAATCAATTCTTGAGGAAAAGATATTACAAAGGAATGTTATCAAGCTATGCCAACTGTTACATAGTTCGTGTTCATTTTATATGAACCCTTTTATCCTTTGGTTCAGTCATTTTTAGTGTTAGAAATGGTATTATTTATAAAAAAATTCATTCACTTGTACATGCACTATGTACTTGCAGATTATCCATTAAGGAACAAATATGCCACAGATTTAAGAATGTTAATTCATCAAACATCCCAGCCATGTTCTCGTGCTTCCATGTATCAAGAATGTAACTCAATTCAGCTCCATGACAATGTTTCCTCTGACGTAAATTGTCCTACCTCTTGCAGAAGTTGTGTTGACCAATGTCTGATTGGTGTTGTCGGATAGATCGGTCTCAATCATCCTCCCGGGCATACTCATTAAAACACGAACTGGTATCTTTTCTGTAAAAAACAAACATATATACTGCCAGTGAACAAGATAAAACATGACTTTTTTGATTGGCATTCTAGAAGTTGGGTAGATGAAGAATGAGGACTAGTTTGATGTATCTACAACTTCTTCATTCTGTATAGGCAATGTTTCGACATAGCTTCTAATTTCACCACTTGCTTGACATTAGAATCTATGTCGAAACATAGCCTATACAGAAAAATGAAGTTGTATATCCATAAAAATTGTCCTCATTCTTCAAGATAAAACATGCCTTAACCTGCCCATTGTCACAGCAGGTTGGGCAGACAGAGGTTAAAGATAAGTGAGTGAGTGAGTCTAGTTTTACGCTGCTTTTAGCAATATTCCAGCAATAACACAGCGGGGGATACCAGATATGGGCTTCACACCATGTGGGGAAGTGAACTTGAGTCTTCTGGGGGACGAGGGAATGCTCTAAACATGAGGTTATCTCACCGTCCCAGTTCAAGATGACATCAGAATTGTTGTCAGTGTTTTATAAACATACATCATATATTTGACTCTACATAAACCAATGAGCCCGGGTTTGTGAAGGCAAATTATAGGGAATGTGCTTTGCTTGGGCTTACCTGCTTTAAGAGTCCTTCCAATGAAAATTTCAGACCAGGGTCCTAGTCCAGATTCAGAAACTGCTCTGACCCGGATGTTGTAACGAGTGTCAGGCTGGAGATTCTGCACCATGATAGAGTTCCCTGTAGTATTGATGGACTGTTCTGTGTTGTCCCTGTCCTCCACATCAAACAAGGACAACTCATAGTCCCACTGGTTCCACGCTCCACGACCTGAAGTGTTGTTGAATGATTACACCTCTCCACATCACATGAGCAACAAAGAGATTTAAACCCTGACTAATGATTGGGGTTGTACTGCCTCACTATATATGTGGTGTTAGCTCATAGTTTACCATGGAACCTGAGCATCCCTTAGGACTATGACAGGCTAGTAATTGTGTGTTCAAATCCCAGATCAGCATCCTATTCTTGAGGTCTGGTCAGCATCAAACTCCTGGCTTCTTTGAGGGGCATTTTAGAAGACGGGAAGTGAAATATTGAACACACTTTATGGATAGCAACTTGTCCTGTTTGACACTGGTACAAGAATCTGTATCAAAATGTCGCACTCACGAAACAAAGAAATTGTTTTCCATAAAGTTTGTTCAATATTGTATCACACTCCTGGGTTTCAAAAAGGCTTTAAAGAAGTCCTTCAGTGCCTACTATTGAACTACAATTGCACATAAATATTCCTAAAAGTCACCCTACTTGTACTGAATGTTTAAAAGTGTCTGTTAATAAATAGTCTTACATATTATTGTTAATGTTTGTATGTCTGTTTGTATTGTGCTCTCTGTTTTAACATGCCATATACCTCTGATGTACACCAAATTCCCTCTTTGGGTAATAAAGTATTATCTTATCTTATCTATCTTACCTCTTTGTTATTAGCCCAACATGAGCCACTAGAATGACCGTCGAGGCCATGAACATGTGCATCTCTTACTCACCTTGATATTGCAGCAATGGCGGTGGGTCCCATTTAATGTGTGCTTCTGTTGGTTCAAATAAAGCTTGGAGGTTCATAGGTGCTGCATGAGGAACTGAAAGACAGAAGAAATTGCTTCATTACATCATGGACCAATTTATTTGCCAAGTAAACAATTTAATAAGACACTAATGGTAATTACAGGTGAAACATCTCAAGGTATCTGGTGAGTGAGTGAGTTTGTTTTTACGCTGCTTTTAGCAATATTCCAAACCAGAAGTTGATTTCACATGCTGATCATGCTGTTGATCACTGGATTGTCTGGTCCAGACTTGATTATTTACAGACCGCCGCCATATAGCTGGAATCAGAGGCCCAGATAAGCTGCGTATCCGGGTACAATACGCAGAGAAAATTTCCAATTAGGCATTGAAAAAATAATTGTTGCGTACCAGTTACGCATTTAAAATGTTAGATACGCAAAAGGTTTAAAACAAATGCGTACGGAATATATTTATAAAAATTGCTTGTGTAATGAAAAAGACATAGATTGCTATCAAGTTGTACTGTTAGTATAGGACAAGTGTTGTACTGTCAGTACAGGATGAGTGAGTTTTTATGAAATCATGTCCATTATATTTAAGTTGGTTTTGATTAGGTATGACATAAGGCAGAACATACCTGCTTAGTAAACTTACTCAATGACATATACTTAGGTGAGTGAAATGACTGAAATACGCACATATTTGAAAGCAGTGGGTAACGGAAAATGAAATACCCACTCAACATTCATAACACCCTCTCCAAAATAATACAGTGGGTACAGTACCCACATGAGCTAAATCTTATCTGGAGCTCTGGCTGGAATATTGCTGAGTGCGGTGTAAAACTAAACTCACTCACTCACTCTAACTATGGTTGTAAAATGTTATACTGGGAACTAAAGCTTCAAAACTTTCTACCTGGTGTTGGCTGCATCCTGGGGTGGTACATGTTCAGTCCTCTGTAGTACTTGTCGAAGAACAGCAGCTCATTATGTCGATACTTCTCAAATCTCGGATCAAATTCTTCACTCATCATCTCTGAGCCATTGGTCCAGTAGAAACGATTATCGTAGCCCGTGAGACTGATGATGTGTTTATAGTTTGGCATAATCACATTGGGTCGAATATCCTGAATATCGGACCCATCTACGAAGGAGGATAGCATGGTGTTCCTTTTGTGGTTGGGGAAATAGAGACGGACTGTCTCAAAGTCAATCATGAAAGCTTTCAGATGGTTGATAGTAACAATTTGGGTTGGTTGAACACGTCGCTTCGGACTTATGTCTGCAAGATCAATACGATATAAACCTTTGCCCTCTCCGTCTTGGGTGAAATAAAGAAATCTGAAATGAAGAAAAAGATATCAACTCTTAAACATTTTTGGTCATTTTTCAAATATTCATCCATTCAGTTTAAACCTGTATTACTCACCCGTTGAAGATATCACTGCTTAGTAATTTTACAATGTTATTACACATTGTGATGCCGTACGTATGACGTCAAAGTGATTTACAGTTATGACGTCACAATGCTAATACCTTTGTCACAATAGTATTAGACCTTGCTTGACTCGCGGAAAGCTGAGTCATCACACTCGTTGAATTTTTAGGACAAAAGTATACTTTGCTTGATATTATTTTGCTAATGTTGGGTGACTAATAAATAAAATACTAAACTATGTCCCGTGTAATACTATATTACACTTTCGCTCATTACATACTCAACCATTCACTCGTGTCATACATATGGTATTACACGGGACATCGTTTAGTATTCTCTATTTCTAACACCAAGGCATTTACTCGTTTCATACATATGGTATTACACGGGACATCATTTAGTATTCTCTATTTCTAACACCAATGCATTTACTCGTTTCATACATATGGTATTACAAGGGGCATCATTTAGTAGGCTCTATTTCTAACACCAATGCATTTACTCGTTTCATACATATGGTATTACAAGGGGCATCATTTAGTATTCACTATTTTCTAACACCAAAGCATTTACTCGTTTCATACATATGGTATTACACGGGACATCATTTAGTATTCTCTATTTCTAACACCAAGGCATTTACTTGTTTCATACACATGGTAGTATTCTTACACCAAGGACATCAGTATTTAGTATTCTCTATTTCTAACACCAAGGCATTTACTCGTTTCATACATATGGTATTACACGGGACATCATTTAGTATTCTCTATTTCTAACACCAAGGCATTTACTCGTTTCATACATATGGTATTACACGGGACATCATTTAGTATTCTCTATTTCTAACACCAAGGCATTTACTCGTTTCATAAATATGGTATTACACGGGACATCATTTAGTATTCTCTATTTCTAACACCAAGGCATTTACTAGTCAGTGACATACAATGTTCCACTTTTTCTGACTTACAACTGCAAAATACACCAATACTCTTACTTTATAAACTATCTTTATAAAAATATGATCTTTTAACATGCTCTTCTTTTAACATACTCTTCTCAAAACAACATGAGATGTATTATTTTTTCAGATAAACTACAGATATTCTTTTATTTCAATGACAAATTGACTGAGTCAGATGAGAAAATTGTGTCCTACTTGTTTAGGGTCATATATTGATTGTCAGACACAGTTGCTCACCCGTTCACAGGATCCACCTTTAGGTCACCAGGGGGCACTGGCAAGCTGTCAACAACCACTATACAATCATCTCGGGCAAGTGGACACCCAAATATCTGAAGAAAAACAACCAACACTTTTCACAAACATAACAAAAACAATGACAAAGCTTAAATGTTTAAGTCATTTAAGCAGTCATAAAATATAACCAGAAATACTTTCATTTCCAAATCACGCAATACTTAGCAATACATATCATCTCATCATCTTGTAAGAACTTTAAGGATCAACACCTACTCAGCAACAACTAATCATGGTCTTTAACCACTGACTCGAAGCACAAGCGGCAGACTTTTTTGACGATGATGTTTAAAGATTAGACAGATATTCAATAGTTATCTCCCTTGATGTGCTATGTTCCCATTAAACACATGGCAAATAGCTTGATATAGTTACACAATTAAATCTCAACAGGGGCAGAGACCTCAAGGGGAAACAGGAACCTTATTTGTGTAATTGATATGAAATATGTGTAAACAACAGGATGCTAGACTTTGCCTAATTGCCAGGATAATTACTCGCTATCTATTAGTGATAACCTCAGAGTCACCAAGCATTTGTCTTCATTCATGAAGAGACGCTTTGGGATATAATTGTCACAAAATAATCTAATTGTTTCCCATTCACAATATTGTATGTAATTAGCTATATTTATTCTGTGAACAGTAGCACGAAAAAATGACACCATTCGAAAATTTCAGCTACAAAAATTATGAATCTGCACACTATGTGTATACCCCTTAAATTTTATCCATATCACTTGAATATATTCCTGATCTATTAAGGATGAGTTTTAACATGTTTCTTTAATTGTATCTGAAGATACTGAAAGACATATCAAGCTTCTGAAAATGCCACTCAAAGAATTTTTCCTCATCGTTATAATTTAGGGGGATACAGGCGGAAGTCTTACTCACTATGTAGGGACAGGTCATTTATTTCACCAAGGAGGGGCAAAATAATGTTACATAAAATGTTGGGGAATGTCTCCTTCTGCCCCCTATCCCCAACCCTATTTTTAATCATCAATCAACTATTTTAGATTAAAGAATGTTCAAACAATGTTAAGATAAAACACAATTTTGGTAATTCAAAAAACGTATGTTTCAAAAATCAATCTTACCCGATGTCTACTGAGAATATAAACCCGATCATTCAGCCAATCAACACTGATGACTGTTGGCTTGAGGATGCTGGGATACATGTTTTTCCTCACGGTGTCCGCTGATAATGAGATTTGCTGTAAAGTTTCATTGCTGTCACTTACAATGAACAACTGCCTGCGAATGTGGATCCCAACACCTAAAGCAAGTAAAACATTATTCATGTTTTTTCCTACTGTAAATATTGTACACATATTAAAAGTAGGTAGAATATCTCTTTTGTGTTCTCTGAACTTGATGTTTATATTGAAACCAGCTGTCGTTACTCAACAAGTTCGTATTTCAAAGTCATACATTTTGGAAGAGTCATTCACTCAGCTAAATCCTTTTCTGTCAGAAAAATGGTTATGCCATGCATTATGAAATCATTATTCCCAGCAAAATTGATTACACTTAGTTACAAGCTTGAACAATACAGACAGAATGCATTATTTCTCCATTGTTTCTCCATGACAACTGTGTCCACTCCTGCTAAAACCAACAGGAAGCATATGACACATTTTCTTAGATCGCTCAGAATTTATGATATTGTTGCGATTGTAAGTACTGCATAATTCCAGAACTTTAACTTCATGCTACAACCATTAAGGAATGATGTGAGAATATTTCTGCCTTGTCAGCAAGTGCTTAAGTCATTAACATTTAAACAAAGTAGTTCACAACAGAACACAGGGCCCCCCTGCACAAGCCTTGATAGAGTCTGTCTTCCAAACCCTGGAAATTAATTGAACTTGAGTCCTTCTCAAGTCTAGAATGATTTGGCAAGTCTACATTGCATAAGCACTAGGAAAGAAATTAAGGATTGTTCTGGACTCCATTTGGATTTGTTTTGTAGATAAATATAATTTCTCAGATTTTCAAATAAGATATTTCTTGGTCTAAATGTCAATCTTAAAAAGAAGTCTGAAGCAAGGAGAGTTGATATTCTCATATCATTGTTCCCACCAGTGTAATCCCTGTGATATAATGTCGTATCACACAGTCAACCTTGTAGAATATTAGGGTGACAGAAGGATTCAATGGCTGTCTTGTTACGTGATACATGCTGTCAAATGACACATCAAAGCATGGGTGGTATTAAAAATAGGAAAAAAAATAGACAATGATGTGACCAACAAACTAAATGTAAAATGCTACTGAATTCCTAACAACAAATTATGACCTTAAATGTGAAATTTAGGTCTATATAGTACATATATCACTCAATAGATAGTCTACTGAACAAATATACTTACATGTATAAATAAATGCTTACTGCACCAACTTGCAATATATATATAAGCCTATCCATACTTTTGCAAAAAGTACAAAATTAATTACAAAAATTAAATAATACATGTTCCTTTCATTTATTGTAACAATACGTTATTTGTTATTTCAAGTTCAAGTTATTCTCATAAGCTAGTCTGAAAATCAACTCTTAAAATATATTTAACTTTCTTTCAGCTGCTATTTCTTGGTATATTGAGCATAAAAATCAATTAAACAAGAAATTACAACAAATTTACAATAAAAGAAAAGTTTGACAAATTTATGGCAGAAAGCAAGTGACAGGTTCATATGCATGTATACGAAAACAAAATACCAGGTAGGCACTTCAAAGTAATATGTATTATTTGGAACACAACACAACCACATTTCTTATCAAATCATAAAATAAACACAATGGCATGAGGATGACTGATTTAAAGAAAACAGATCATTAATGATAGACACTGAAATGAATGGAGTGAATAAGTTGAATACACACAGTTATCACACTGATGGGAGTTATTAAATCATTGATATCAGCTTCTGTGACTTGCAGGAATCGACCAGCAGAAATACAAACATACCTCACTCTTGATCATCCAACAAATTAAAAACTAACATATTTGTCCTGAAAGGGATTTATTACATGATTACAGACTTTGAATGTAATATATGAATATTTATAAACTATAAAGAATTAAAGGTGTTGGAACAAATCTGCCATGCTTGACAATCCTGTTATAGAATATAGAATAAATGGTATTTTTTGTCATCACAGAAGCTGATGCTAAACACAAGTCAACATAAATGTCTGTCAACATGAAAATGAGAATCAATGAAAACAAACATGATACAAACATTAGCAAGTGACGACTGAAGAGGAGTGGGTCTGTAACAACACTCATAGGAACATCAACAACATTTAAACTTATTCTTGGGTGCATTACAATACCTTCAATGTCACCCGACTGACTTTCATACACTGTTTCCGTTCCTAGGTTGGTGTGCATGGCAGAGAGAGTAAACATTAGAGGACAGGCAGATTGAAAAGAAGAACTGACAGTATTTGTAAGATGTGGAAAGTGAGTGAGTGAGTGAGTATGGTTTTACACCACTTTTAGCAATATTCCAGTAATATCACGGAAGGGGACACCAGAAATGGGCTTCACACATTGTACCCATGTGGGGAATCAAACCCTGGTATTCGGCATGACAAGCGAGTGCCCTTAAGAGGAAGAACTGACATTACATGACAGATGTGAAAAACAAAAGGAATAAGAATGGGGAGAAAATAGTGAGTGGGTTGGATTAACACCATTTTAAACAATATTCCAGTTATATTGTTGCGTGTTAACGTAAGTGAAAAGAAAAGCCTGAAGTGTTCCAGTTTGTTTGTTGTTAAACGCCACACTCAGCAATATTCCAGCTTTTTGGTGCAGTCTGTAAATAATAGAGTCTTGACTACACAATCCAGTGATCAACAGCATGAGCATCGATCCACACAACTGGGATAGAATTATATGCGTCAACCAAGTCAGCGAGTCTGACCACCCGATCCCATTCATCGCCTCTTACGACAAGCATGGGTTGAAGTGAAGGAAGTCTCGGACACTGACTACTATGGTCAAACCTGCAAGCACAAGTATGGTGCAGACAAACCTAGGAACATGATCAGGGTCGACTGGGATTCAAACCCAAATTCAACTTTGCATGGGGAATTCCAACACCTTAGACAGCTGCACCATCCATGTTCACATATGAAAAATATGTTGGGGAGAAGTAGGGAAGAGAAATGAAGATAAAGTCAGAATATGTTAGTAAGGAATTCAAAGAGAAAAGAATTTCAACATAGAAAGTAAGTATGTTGAGCAGAATAAATAAGTGTACTTTGTATATAGTTCATATATAAAGAAGAATGTTGGATAAACTGAAGCAGAGATAGAAGAACCAGTTACAGGTAGAGACAGAGGAAAGACTACATGTGTATTTCAAATATGGATCAAACAACACATTTCTGTATTAAACTGTCACAACTACACTTTCTATTTCACTTACATAAATACTACCAGGTGCATCTTACAGAGCTGTTACAGATTCAGTGTGAATGAAAAGCACTTTTCCAAGTCAAATAAATAGATTACATTAATGATACACAATGGAAAGTCTAGGTTTGGCATAGATTGTTGTAAAAGTGGCTTCTCTAGAAGAGGTCATTCACAGTACTTTCATCATCTGACAATAAATTTTATTTACACAAAATCTCTTTTTACTGCATCTGATATGCCAATAATCTCGTTAACACAGGTGAGATAAGCTCAGTGAGACAAGCTCATTATCTCACTAACACAGGTGAGATACACCTATTAACACATTTACATGGGTGAAAAGTGCCAATTATCTCACTGAAACAGATCATACGTAACTATCACATTGACACAGGTGATATGGGCCATTTTCATAGTTGTGATAACAATTTCCAATATTTACAAACATGAGACAACTGTCCTGACAACTATTGCTTATACATACATAGAATGGCTTATAATCCAAATAGTTTTAACCATCACATAGTGCTTGTCTACGGTCAACAACTAACTTGCAGTACTAGCTAGTCTCAAGGTGCAAGTTACACATTCAGTGTTATAATGACCCCACCTATCCCTGAGATCTATTGACTACACTCTTCTCAATAACCAGTAGAATGAAGAAATCACAAGATAAACCCACCATCAAATGTTGGAATACGTAACGGCATCACAAATCTGCCATGACAAAGCAATGGTAACCAATGAAATATCCCTTCTGAGTAGTCATTACAGCTAAGTGGAGCATCACCAGGGTAAGACTACACATTTGAGTGAGCGAGTGAGTGAGTGACTTTAGTTGTACGCCACACTCAGCAATATTCCAGCTATATGGCGGCGGTCTGTAAATAATCGAGTCTGGACCAGACAATCCAGTGATCAACAGCATGAGCATGGGTTACTGAAGGCACATTCTAACTCAGACCTTCATGGGACTACACAGTTGAGACACATTCACCAACTGAAGTATTATCCATACACAGAGGCCATAACGGTCATCCAATCCCCATTTTAGTTGCTTTGTACCGCAACACCAGGATACTGGAGGCTCATTTGTCCTGAAACGCCAATGAGAAGGTATTGTAATTAACTAAAGCTATCAGTGAGGTGTTCCTGTACCTGTTATGACATTGCTCTTGTTTTCTTCCTCAAGGATGGTGTCAGCCAGACTCATTATATTAATTAAGTTCTGCTTCAGCACCCGATTGGCTGAGCCCAGGATGAGGAATGGCGTCTCATTGGCTGATACTGCAAAGGAAAAAGATAAGCATGAGGAACTCATATTCCTTCATTGACTCAACCAGACACGGCGATAACCACCTTAAAACATTGCAATTAGTCACTGATTCAGTTACTGTGTTATATGGTTGGGCTTAGTTGCAAGTTGCTGAAATGTTGAACACATGTGTGAAAATAGAGCCATCATAAACTGCTGGGAATAAAAAAAACACAAATGACTTCAAACTGACATGTAGGAAGTAAATATATCATGTTATGTATACGTAAGTCCAAATACCTATGATTTTGATACGACTGTCCAGGCAAAATAATCATGTTACAGTGCACAGATACAACAAAATCAGTACTGCGGTATAAAACACGAACTGGTATCTTTTCTGTAAAAAAACAAACATATATACTGCCAGTGAACAAGATAAAACATGACTTTTTTGATTGGCATTCTAGAAGTTGGGTAGATGAAGAATGAGGACTAGTTTGATGTATCTACAACTTCTTCATTCTGTATAGGCAATGTTTCGACATAGCTTCTAATTTCACCACTTGCTTGACATTAGAATCTATGTCGAAACATAGCCTATACAGAAAAAATGAAGTTGTATATCCATAAAAATTGTCCTCATTCTTCAAGATAAAACATGCCTTAACCTGCCCATTGTCACAGCAGGTTGGGCAGACAGAGGTTAAAGATAAGTGAGTGAGTGAGTTTAGTTTTACGCTGCTTTTAGCAATATTCCAGCAATAACACAGCGGGGGATACCAGATATGGGCTTCACACCATGTGGGGAAGTGAACTTGAGTCTTCTGGGGGACGAGGGAATGCTCTAAACATGAGGTTATCTCACCGTCCCAGTTCAAGATGACATCAGAATTGTTGTCAGTGTTTTTTAAACATACATCATATATTTGACTCTACATAAACCAATAAGCCCGGGTTTGTGAAGGCAAATTATAGGGAATGTGCTTTGCTTGGGCTTACCTGCTTTAAGAGTCCTTCCAATGAAAATTTCAGACCAGGGTCCCAGTCCAGATTCAGAAACTGCTCTGACCCGGATGTTGTAACGAGTGTCAGGCTGGAGATTCTGCACCATGATAGAGTTCCCTGTAGTATTGATGGACTGTTCTGTGTTGTCCCTGTCCTCCACATCAAACATGGACAACTCATAGTCCCACTGGTTCCACGCTCCACGACCTGAAGTGTTGTTGAATGATTACACCTCTCCACATCACATGAGCAACAAAGAGATTAAAACCCTGACTAATGATTGGGGTTGTACTGCCTCACTATATATGTGGTGTTAGCTCATAGTTTACCATGGAACCTGATCATCCCTTAGGACTATGACAGGCTAGTAATTGTGTGTTCAAATCCCAGATCAGCATCCTATTCTTGAGGTCTGGTCAGCATCAAACTCCTGGCTTCTTTGAGGGGCATTTTAGAAGACGGGAAGTGAAATATTGAACACACTTTATGGATAGCAACTTGTCCTGTTTGACACTGGTACAAGAATCTGTATCAAAATGTCGCACTCACGAAACAAAGAAATTGTTTTCCATAAAGTTTGTTCAATATTGTATCACACTCCTGGGTTTCAAAAAGGCTTTAAAGAAGTCCTTCAGTGCCTACTATTGAACTACAATTGCACATAAATAGTCCTAAATGTCACCCTACTTGTACTGAATGTTTTAAAGTGTCTGTTAATAAATAGTCTTACATATTATTGTTAATGTTTGTATGTCTGTTTGTATTGTGCTCTCTGTTTTAACATGCCAATTACCTCTGATGTACACCAAATTCCCTCTTTGGGTAATAAAGTATTATCTTATCTTATCTATCTTACCTCTTTGTTATTACCAACATGAGCCACTAGAATGACCGTCGAGGCCATGAACATGTGCATCTCTTACTCACCTTGATATTGCAGCAATGGCGGTGGGTCCCATTTAATGTGTGCTTCTGTTGGTTCAAATAAAGCTTGGAGGTTCATAGGTGCTGCATGAGGAACTGAAAGACAGAAGAAATTGCTTCATTACATCATGGACCAATTTATTTGCCAAGTAAACAATTTAACAAGACACTAATGGTAATTACAGGTGAAACATCTCAAGGTATCTGGTGAGTGAGTGAGTTTGTTTTTACGCTGCTTTTAGCAATATTCCAAACCAGAAGTTGATTTCACACATTGTACCCATGTGTGGAATTGGACCTGGGTTTTCGGTGTGATGAGCGAACACTTTAACCACTAGGCCACCCTGCCCCTCAAGGTATCTAAGTAGTGTGACGATGTAATATTTTTCCATAATAATATAAGCAAATACTTAACATCAATTCCAAACACTGCTCTAAGTACTTGGAAATATGAGACATGGAGTGAGTGAGTATGGTATGACGCCGCTTTTAGCAATATTCCAGCAATATCAGGACACCAGGAATGGGCTCCACACATTGTACCTATGTGGGGAATCGAACCCGGGCCTTCGGCGTGATGAGCGAAGGGTTTAACCACTAAGCTACCCCACCGCCCCCATGAGACATGGACCTGACTATGAAACATTTGTGGTGGTGCCAATGTCACCAGTAAAATACAGATTAGTTACCCCTCTCAAAAAAAAGGGTTGGTTATGCCCACAATAAATCTTGCCCCACCCCACAATTTTGTGTTTGGGTCAATTCTGAGGACAAGAAATATATGTCAAGCATTTTCAGAAGCATGTTTCCAATATTTTTAAATCCCATGGTCGCCACCCTTACCCAGAATATCATACAGCGAGTGAGTGAGTTTTGGTTTAGGCCGCTTTTACCAATATTCCAGCAACATCACAGCGGGGTACACTAGAAATGGGCTTCTCACATTGTACCCTTGAGGGGAATTGAAGCCGGGTCTTTGGCGTGATGAGCGAACACTTAAACCACTAGGCTACCTCACTGCCCTGAATATTATACAGTCCACACCGACTGCAAATCTAACTATGGGACCCGTGAAGGGCTTGGTTAGAGTGAGCCTTCAGTAACCGATGCTTGTCGTAAGAGGCGACTAACGGGATCGGGTTGTCAGGCTCGCTGACTTGGTTGACACATGTCATCGGTTCCCAATTGTGCAGATCGATGCTCATGCTGTTGATCACTGGATTGTCTGGTCCAGACTTGATTATTTACAGACCGCCGCCATATAGCTGGAATCAGAGGCCCAGATAAGCTGCGTATCCGGGTAAAATACGCAGAGAAAATTTCCAATTAGGCATTGAAAAAATAATTGTTGCGTACCAGTTACGCATTTAAAATGTTAGATACGCAAAAGGTTTAAAACAAATGCGTACGGAATATATTTATAAAAATTGCTTGTGTAATGAAAAAGACATAGATTGCTATCAAGTTGTACTGTTAGTATAGGACAAGTGTTGTACTGTCAGTACAGGATGAGTGAGTTTTATGAAATCATGTCCATTATATTTAAGTTGGTTTTGATTAGGTATGACATAAGGCAGAACATACCTGCTTAGTAAACTTACTCAATGACATATACTTAGGTGAGTGAAATGACTGAAATACGCACATATTTGAAAGCAGTGGGTAACGGAAAATGAAATACCCACTCAACATTCATAACACCCACTCCAAAATAATACAGTGGGTACAGTACCCACATGAGCTAAATCTTATCTGGAGCTCTGGCTGGAATATTGCTGAGTGCGGTGTAAAACTAAACTCACTCACTCACTCTAACTATGGTTGTAAAATGTTATACTGGGAACTAAAGTTTCAAAACTTTCTACCTGGTGTTGGCTGCATCCTGGGGTGGTACATGTTCAGTCCTCTGTAGTACTTGTCGAAGAACAGCAGCTCATTATGTCGATACTTTTCAAATCTCGGATCAAATTCTTCACTCATCATCTCTGAGCCATTGGTCCAGTAGAAACGATTATCGTAGCCCGTGAGACTGATGATGTGTTTATAGTTTGGCATAATCACATTGGGTCGAATATCCTGAATATCGGACCCATCTACGAAGGAGGATAGCATGGTGTTCCTTGTGTGGTTGGGGAAATAGAGACGGACTGTCTCAAAGTCAATCATGAAAGCTTTCAGATGGTTGATAGTAACAATTTGGGTTGGTTGAACACGTCGCTTCGGACTTATGTCTGCAAGATCAATACGATATAAACCTTTGCCCTCTCCGTCTTGGGTGAAATAAAGAAATCTGAAATGAAGAAAAAGATATCAACTCTTAACATTTTTGATCATTTTTCAAATATTCATCCATTCAGTTTAAACCTGTATTACTCACCCGTTGAAGATATCACTGCTTAGTAATTTTACAATGTTATTACACATTGTGATGCCGTACGTATGACGTCAAAGTGATTTACAGTTATGACGTCACAATGCTAATACCTTTGTCACAATAGTATTAGACCTTGCTTGACTCGCGGAAAGCTGAGTCATCACACTCGTTGAATTTTTAGGACAAAAGTATACTTTGCTTGATATTATTTTGCTAATGTTGGGTGACTAATAAATAAAATACTAAACTATGTCCCGTGTAATACTATATTACACTTTCGCTCATTACATACTCAACCATTCACTCGTGTCATACATATGGTATTACACGGGACATCGTTTAGTATTCTCTATTTCTAACACCAAGGCATTTACTCGTTTCATACATATGGTATTACACGGGACATCGTTTAGTATTCTCTATTTCTAACACCAATGCATTTACTCGTTTCATACATATGGTATTACACGGGACATCATTTAGTATTCTCTATTTCTAACACCAAGGCATTTACTCGTTTCATACATATGGTATTACACGGGACATCATTTAGTATTCTCTATTTCTAACACCAATGCATTTACTCGTTTCATACATATGGTATTACACGGGACATCATTTAGTATTCTCTATTTCTAACACCAATGCATTTACTCGTTTCATACATATGGTATTACACGGGACATCATTTAGTATTCTCTATTTCTAACACCAATGCATTTACTCGTTTCATACATATGGTATTACACGGGACATCATTTAGTATTCTCTATTTCTAACACCAATGCATTTACTCGTTTCATACATATGGTATTACACGGGGCATCAGTTAGTATTCTCTATTTCTAACACCAAGGCATTTACTCGTTTCATACATATGGTATTACACGGGACATCATTTAGTATTCACTCATTTCTAGCATTTATTCATACATATGGTTTCAGGACATCAGTTAGTATTCTCTATTTCTAACACCAAGGCATTTACTCGTTTCATACATATGGTATTACACGGGACATCAGTTAGTATTCTCTATTTCTAACACCAAGGCATTTACTCGTTTCATACATATGGTATTACACGGGACATCATTTAGTATTCTCTATTTCTAACACCAAGGCATTTACTTGTTTCATACATATGGTATTACACGGGACATCATTTAGTATTCTCTATTTCTAACACCAAGGCATTTACTCGTTTCATACATATGGTATTACACGGGACATCATTTAGTATTCTCTATTTCTAACACCAAGGCATTTACTCGTTTCATAAATATGGTATTACACGGGACATCATTTAGTATTCTCTATTTCTAACACCAAGGCATTTACTAGTCAGTGACATACAATGTTCCACTTTTTCTGACTTACAACTGCAAAATACACCAATACTCTTACTTTATAAACTATCTTTATAAAAATATGATCTTTTAACATGCTCTTCTTTTAACATACTCTTCTCAAAACAACATGAGATGTATTATTTTTTCAGATAAACTACAGATATTCTTTTATTTCAATGACAAATTGACTGAGTCAGATGAGAAAATTGTGTCCTACTTGTTTAGGGTCATATATTGATTGTCAGACACAGTTGCTCACCCGTTCACAGGATCCACCTTTAGGTCACCAGGGGGCACTGGCAAGCTGTCAACAACCACTATACAATCATCTCGGGCAAGTGGACACCCAAATATCTGAAGAAAAACAACCAACACTTTTCACAAACATAACAAAAACAATGACAAAGCTTAAATGTTTAAGTCATTTAAGCAGTCATAAAATATAACCAGAAATACTATCATTTCCAAATCACGCAATACTTAGCAATACATATCATCTCATCATCTTATAAGAACTTTAAGGATCAACACCTACTCAGCAACAACTAATCATGGTCTTTAACCACTGACTCGAAGCACAAGCGGCAGACTTTTTTGACGATGATGTTTAAAGATTAGACAGATATTCAATAGTTATCTCCTTGATGTGCTATGTTCCCATTAAACACATGGCAAATAGCTTGATATAGTTACACAATTAAATCTCAACAGGGGCAGAGACCTCAAGGGGAAACAGGAACCTTATTTGTGTAATTGATATGAAATATGTGTAAACAACAGGATGCTAGACTTTGCCTAATTGCCAGGATAATTACTCGCTATCTATTAGTGATAACCTCAGAGTCACCAAGCATTTGTCTTCATTCATGAAGAGACGCTTTGGGATATAATTGTCACAAAATAATCTAATTGTTTCCCATTCACAATATTGTATGTAATTAGCTATATTTATTCTGTGAACAGTAGCACGAAAAAATGACACCATTCGAAAATTTCAGCTACAAAAATTATGAATCTGCACACTATGTGTATACCCCTTAAATTTTATCCATATCACTTGAATATATTCCTGATCTATTAAGGATGAGTTTTAACATGTTTCTTTAATTGTATCTGAAGCTACTGAAAGACATATCAAGCTTCTGAAAATGCCACTCAAAGAATTTTTTCCTCATCGTTATAATTTAGGGGGATACAGGCGGAAGTCTTACTCACTATGTAGGCACAGGTCATTTATTTCACCAAGGAGGGGCAAAATAATGTTACATAAAATGTTGGGGAATGTCTCCTTCTGCCCCCTATCCCCAACCCTATTTTTAATCACCAATCAACTATTTTAGATTAAAGAATGTTCAAACAATGTTAAGATAAAACACAATTTTGGTAATTCAAAAAACGTATGTTTCAAAAATCCAATCTTACCCGATTTCTACTGAGAATATAAACCCGATCATTCAGCCAATCAACACTGATGACTGTTGGCTTGAGGATGCTGGGATACATGTTTTTCCTCACGGTGTCCGCTGATAATGAGATTTGCTGTACAGTTTCATTGCTGTCACTTACAATGAACAGCTGCCTGCGAATGTGGATCCCAACACCTAAAGCAAGTAAAACATTATTCATGTTTTTTCCTAGTGTAAATATTGTACACATATTAAAAGTAGGTAGAATATCTCTTTTGTGTTCTCTGAACTTGATGTTTATATTGAAACCAGCTGTCGTTACTCAACAAGTTCGTATTTCAAAGTCATACATTTTGGAAGAGTCATTCACTCAGCTAAATCCTTTTCTGTCAGAAAAATGGTTATGCCATGCATTATGAAATCATTATTCCCAGCAAAATTGATTACACTTAGTTACAAGCTTGAACAATACAGACAGAATGCATTATTTCTCCATTGTTTCTCCATGACAACTGTGTCCACTCCTGCTAAAACCAACAGGAAGCATATGACACATTTTCTTAGATCGCTCAGAATTTATGATATTGTTGCGATTGTAAGTACTGCATAATTCCAGAACTTTAACTTCATGCTACAACCATTAAGGAATGATGTGAGAATATTTCTGCCTTGTCAGCAAGTGCTTAAGTCATTAACATTTAAACAAAGTAGTTCACAACAGAACACAGGGCCCCCCTGCACAAGCCTTGATAGAGTCTGTCTTCCAAACCCTGGAAATTAATTGAACTTGAGTCCTTCTCAAGTCTAGAATGATTTGGCAAGTCTACATTGCATAAGCACTAGGAAAGAAATTAAGGATTGTTCTGGACTCCATTTGGATTTGTTTTGTAGATAAATATAATTTCTCAGATTTTCAAATAAGATATTTCTTGGTCTAAATGTCAATCTTAAAAAGAAGTCTGAAGCAAGGAGAGTTGATATTCTCATATCATTGTTCCCACCAGTGTAATCCCTGTGATATAATGTCGTATCACACAGTCAACCTTGTAGAATATTAGGGTGACAGAAGGATTCAATGGCTGTCTTGTTACGTGATACATGCTGTCAAATGACACATCAAAGCATGGGTGGTATTAAAAATAGGAAAAAAATAGACAATGATGTGACCAACAAACTAAATGTAAAATGCTACTGAATTCCTAACAACAAATTATGACCTTAAATGTGAAATTTAGGTCTATATAGTACATATATCACTCAATAGATAGTCTACTGAACAAATATACTTACATGTATAAATAAATGCTTACTGCACCAACTTGCAATATATATATAAGCCTATCCATACTTTTGCAAAAAGTACAAAATTAATTACAAAAATTAAATCCTTTTTTGAAAATTGGATTAAATAATACATGTTCCTTTCATTTATTGTAACTATACGTTATTTGTTATTTCAAGTTCAAGTTATTCTCATAAGCTAGTCTGAAAATCAACTCTTAAAATATATTTAACTTTCTTTCAGCTGCAATTTCTTGGTATATTGAGCATAAAAATCAATTAAACAAGAAATTACAACAAATTTACAATAAAAGAAAAGTTTGATAAATTAATGGCAGAAAGCAAGTGACAGGTTCATATGCATGTATACGAAAACAAAATACCAGGTAGGCACTTCAAAGTAATATGTATTATTTGGAACACAACACAACCACATTTCTTATCAAATCATAAAATAAACACAATGACATGAGGATAACTGATTTACAGAAACAGATCATTAATGATAGACACTGAAATGAATGGAGTGAATAAGTTGAATACACACAGTTATCACACTGATGGGAGTTATTAAATCATTGATATCAGCTTCTGTGACTTGCAGGAATCGACCAGCAGAAATACAAACATACCTCACTCTTGATCATCCAACAAATTAGAAACTAACATATTTGTCCTGAAAGGGATTTATTACATGATTACAGACTTTGAATGTAATATATGAATATTTATAAACTATAAAGAATTAAAGGTGTTGGAACAAATCTGCCATGCTTGACAATCCTGTTATAGAATATAGAATAAATGGTATTTTTTGTCATCACAGAAGCTGATGCTAAACACAAGTCAACATAAATGTCTGTCAACATGAAAATGAGAATCAATGAAAACAAACATGATACAAACATTAGCAAGTGACGACTGAAGAGGAGTGGGTCTGTAACAACACTCATAGGAACATCAACAACATTTAAACTTATTCTTGGGTGCATTACAATACCTTCAATGTCACCCGACTGACTTTCATACACTGTTTCCGTTCCTAGGTTGGTGTGCATGGCAGAGAGAGTAAACATTAGAGGACAGGCAGATTGAAAAAAAGAACTGACAGTATTTGTAAGATGTGGAAAGTGAGTGAGTGAGTGAGTATGGTTTTACACCACTTTTAGCAATATTCCAGTAATATCACGGAAGGGGACACCAGAAATGGGCTTCACACATTGTACCCATGTGGGGAATCAAACCCTGGTATTCGGCATGACAAGCGAGTGCCCTTAAGAGGAAGAACTGACATTACATGACAGATGTGAAAAACAAAAGGAATAAGAATGTGGAGAAAATAGTGAGTGGGTTGGATTAACACCATTTTAAACAATATTCCAGTTATATTGTTGTGTGTTAACGTAAGTGAAAAGAAAAGCCTGAAGTGTTCCAGTTTGTTTGTTGTTAAACGCCACACTCAGCAATATTCCAGCTTTTTGGTGCAGTCTGTAAATAATAGAGTCTTGACTACACAATCCAGTGATCAACAGCATGAGCATCGATCCACACAACTGGGATAGAATTATATGCGTCAACCAAGTCAGCGAGTCTGACCACCCGATCCCATTCATCGCCTCTTACGACAAGCATGGGTTGAAGTGAAGGAAGTCTCGGACACTGACTACTATGGTCAAACCTGCAAGCACAAGTATGGTGCAGACAAACCTAGGAACATGATCAGGGTCGACTGGGATTCAAACCCAAATTCAACTTTGCATGGGGAATTCCAACACCTTAGACAGCTGCACCATCCATGTTCACATATGAAAAATATGTTGGGGAGAAGTAGGGAAGAGAAATGAAGATAAAGTCAGAATATGTTAGTAAGGAATTCAAAGAGAAAAAGAATTTCAACATAGAAAGTAAGTATGTTGAGCAGAATAAATAAGTGTACATTGTATATAGTTCATATAGAAAGAAGAATGTTGGATAAACTGAAGCAGAGATAGAAGAACCAGTTTCAGGTAGAGACAGAGGAAAGACTACATGTGTATTTCAAATATGGATCAAACAACACATTTCTGTATTAAACTGTCACAACTACACTTTCTATTTCACTTACATAAATACTACCAGGTGCATCTTACAGAGCTGTTACAGATTCAGTGTGAATGAAAAGCACTTTTCCCAAGTCAAATAAATAGATTACATTAATGATACACAATGGAAAGTCTAGGTTTGGCATAGATTGTTGTAAAAGTGGCTTCTCTAGAAGAGGTCATTCACAGTACTTTCATCATCTGACAATAAATTTTATTTACACAAAATCTCTTTTACTGCATCTGATATGCCAATAATCTCGTTAACACAGGTGAGATAAGCTCAGTGAGACAAGCTCATTATCTCACTAACACAGGTGAGATACACCTATTAACACATTTACATGGGTGAAAAGTGCCAATTATCTCACTGAAACAGATCATACGTAACTATCACATTGACACAGGTGATATGGGCCATTTTCATAGTTGTGATAACAATTTCCAATATTTACAAACATGAGACAACTGTCCTGACAACTATTGCTTATACATACATAGAATGGCTTATAATCCAAATAGTTTTAACCATCACATAGTGCTTGTCTACGGTCAACAACTAACTTGCAGTACTAGCTAGTCTCGAGGTGCAAGCTACACATTCAGTGTTATAATGACCCCACCTATCCCTGAGATCTATTGACTACACTCTTCTCAATAACCAGTAGAATGAAGAAATCACAAGATAAACCCACCATCAAATGTTGGAATACGTAACGGCATCACAAATCTGCCATGACAAAGCAATGGTAACCAATGAAATATCCCTTCTGAGTAGTCATTACAGCTAAGTGGAGCATCACCAGGGTAAGACTACACATTTGAGTGAGCGAGTGAGTGAGTGACTTTAGTTGTACGCCACACTCAGCAATATTCCAGCTATATGGCGGCGGTCTGTAAATAATAGAGTCTGGACCAGACAATCCAGTGATCAACAGCATGAGCATGGGTTACTGAAGGCACATTCTAACCCAGACCTTCATGGGACTACACAGTTGAGACACATTCACCAACTGAAGTATTATCCATACACAGAGGCCATAACGGTCATCCAATCCCCATTTTAGTTGCTTTGTACCGCAACACCAGGATACTGGAGGCTCATTTGTCCTGAAACACCAATGAGAAGGTATTGTAATTAACTAAAGCTATCAGTGAGGAGTTCCTGTACCCGTTATGACATTGCTCTTGTTTTCTTCCTCAAGGATGGTGTCAGCCAGACTCATTATATTAATTAAGTTCTGCTTCAGCACCCGATTGGCTGAGCCCAGGATGAGGAATGGCGTCTCATTGGCTGATACTGCAAAGGAAAAAGATAAGCATGAGGAACTCATATTCCTTCATTGACTCAACCAGACACGCCGATAACCACCTTAAAACATTGCAATTAGTCACTGATTCAGTTACTGTGTTATATGGTTGGGATTAGTTGCAAGTTGCTGAAATGTTGAACACATGTGTGAAAATAGAGCCATCATAAACTGCTGGGAATAAAAAAAACCACAAATGACTTCAAACTGACATGTAGGAAGTAAATATATCATGTTATGTATACGTAAGTCCAAATACCTATGATTTTGATACGACTGTCCAGGCAAAATAATCATGTTACAGTGCACAGATACAACAAAATCAGTACTGCGGTATAAAAACAAATAACACATATCTTACAAGCTGTTTGATTATATCATGAACCATCTGACTAAGGTGTATAACTACCTATATATACTACTCAGAAGATAAATAGTTAAAGAACACCCAATCATTTCATAATACTATTGTTATTCTGTCATGGCTTGTGGTTACTGCAACATCCAGATTTCTGATTGTTCTTTGAGTAATATACATGTACACATAAAATGACACATACAGAAATCCATCTAGTACTCCCATTAGCACTACTGGAGTCAAGTCTATGAGCATTTACAAGTTGGATGTTATCGTGATAAGAAGTAATATGGTTCCAGCGTCTTTATTATACACACACTATGTTTCATGGCTACTTGCCCAATCTTTCATTTGTATGTACATACATGTCATGTTCTCCTAACCTGTCCCTCGCCTGATGAAAGGCAAGAAGTAGCCTTGCAATGATGTGTATGTATGATCAAGGAGATGCTATCCATACAACTCTTATTAGCAATATACAGTAGTTCCTTAACACAAGGTGAGTTACAACATCAGTTACCTCGTTACGTGATTGAGTTAGAAGTTGGAGAGTCAGATAAGGGCAAATTTTATGGATAACAACTTCTTTCTTCAGTAAAGTATTTCGATGTACATATATGTAATAACGTTATTGACTCTGTACAATTATACTGAAGTATTATACATGTATACTGTTACATATGTCAACCTGTATGTATACCTGAAAACAGTGAAATAAAGAAAAAAATATATAAAATGCTTTTTTCTTCAGGTGATGTCGTTTGATACAGATTCTTGTATACTTGTCAAGCAAGTATTATTTGATACAGAACCTGCTTGACAATGATACAAAAATCTGTATCAAATATGAATCTGCCTACATATCAAAATGTTTCGATACACATTCTTGTATCATTGTCAAACAGGTATCTGTATCAAAGATTCTGTATTGAATGTACAAGAATCTGTATCGAATTTGAAACTGCCTTCATACTATGCCTTCATACACCTGCTTGACAACGATACAAGAATCTGTAGCAAAACATCGCATCACCTGAATAAAGTTGTTGTTCATTCATAACGTTTGTCCTTATCTACCGCCTCTTGTTGCTAGTTATTGAGGTCACCAAATCTGACAGACAACAGACCATCATCCCTTCATCCATTCTCTGGTGTATGAATGGAATGACGGTGCAGAAACATCACAACATTGATAATGCATATACCATCCTCAGGGATCGCAACAGGAAGATCTATTTTCAGCTGAAAACTTAATAGTGTGTCATTAAATGGGTGGTTCAGGGATTTAGACGATTCACAGAATTGATCAATTTGAATTAAAACCAGCAGAAATCTGATCAGCAGAATATTGCCATTCCTGCATCTGTATCTCACAATTTTTATCTTATATATACATGTATTTCATAGTGATAGGGTGAGTGAGTGAGACAGGTTTAAAGCCAGAATTCACTTTGTGTCAGCCTAACATGAGAGGGAAGCCGAAATGTTTACAACCTTGGAGAAACCCATGAGCACGGTTATGGTGCTCACAAACCTAGTGACATGCGGCAAATTGGGATTCAAACCCAGAATCGCAGGTTTCTGTTACACCTTGACTTGACCACCCATGCCTCCCACATGTCATTTACAAACATCGTAACTATATTCTCTGATGACAAAATTCTGTATCTGGTATACATCAGGTTGCACATTTCATGGCTTTATGAGTGAGTGAGTTTAGTTTTATGCCGCACATATTCCAGCTATATGGCGGTGGTCTGTAAATAATTGAGTCTGCACCAGACAATCCACTGATCAACAGCATGAGCATCGACCTGCGCAGTTCGGAACCAATGACATGTGTCAACCAAGTCAGCGAGCCTGACTACCCGATCCTGTTAGTCGCCTTTAACAAGCATGGATTACTGAAGATCAATATTCTCACCCGGATGTTCACTGGTGTCATGGCATTATGAGCTAAAATATCCTGGTAAAGATAAGACCCAGATATAGTACAAATTATCTTAACACTTTTCATGGATAACAACAGTTTTTACTCTTTGTCACAGTTCAGAACTACTACAGTGAGTGAGTTTAGTTTACGCTGCACTCAGCAATGTTCCAGCTATATGACGGTGGTCTGTAAATTATCGAGTCTGGACCAGACAATCCAGTGATCAACATGAGCATAAATCTGCACAATTGGGTAACGATGACATGTGTCGACCAAGTCAGTCAGCCTGACCACCCAATCCCCTCAGTCGCCTCTTACGACAAGCATGGGTTACTGAAGATCAATTCTAACCCGGACCTTCATGGGTGAGGAGCAAGAAGTATCCCTGAAATGTCATGGCAAAGAATAAAAGAAGTTGTTTTCCATACAAGTGTTTTATGAACTAATGTTCTTCTAATTTCTGAATACCTTTCAAGGACTTTATCTATATCATATGAAGAATCTTAGCTCTACATCAATCTTGGGATTTTCAGGTACCACATTACTCCAGTCCAGGTCTGACATCACCTGAATGTTGAAAAGGAAACCTCACACTTCACATACACTGGCTGCCAAAATGTGTATGCTACAGCATGCACTCCAGAGGACATGTATATTGTTACAGGAACTAATGTAGGAGATATATTGTGACGCGAGCCATCAGGTCGATGAATCTGCCTTCAATTATCCAAGGTAATGCAACCTTATGATGTTCCCAATTATTGAACTGTCAGCAGGTGCACCTTCAGTGCTGGGGGATACAGCAGACGTCTGATCCTATCCTATTTAATACTTTCTAAAGATAATTACGATTAATTTAAGGTAGAAAACAAACGACGGTGTCGGTGACCTAAATTAAGAATCCTCGCACAGGGCTAACTGGCGCGCTGTTCTATTGATGTGTCTGCCCCCTACGTTAAGACGAACGTTACCAGAAAAAAACAATTGATAACAATTTGATGACGGTTTACGTTCGGATTAAATGTCTTCTCTGAATTATTTTAATTACATCTGTCATTAACGTAAACCATATGGGGCAATATGAACGTTGCATTTCTACTACCAGCGTAAGTTTAGATCAGTACATCCAGAGGAAGTTGAGTAGTCAAGCGACATTCCACAATTGCATTGTGGGAATGTAAACATTACGAACGTTACCGTGTCGCTGAAAACTTGTGAGTCGAAATGACACCTTTTAACCGTCGTAAAACATAAACATAATGTTTTCACCAGTGATGTTAGCTGCGTGAAGCAACAGCAAACCAAGAAACGCAATGCAACGGTGTAGTTTACTGTAGGAGGCCGTACGAGGCGATGACAACTGACATGCATCGTGACGTCGCTTACATTGTGACGGGATAACGTCATTCAATTGTTACGTCATCAAAAAACTATACCTTTATTGTCTGATAATGTATCTTTTTTTCGATTGTTCTAACCGCTAGACATCTTAGAAATCGCAATACATGCTTTCGCATCGCAATATATTGCAATATGAAAATTCTCTGCAATGCCCACCCCTATAGCCTACCCCACCGCCCCTAAGAACGACTGTGTCTTTTTCAAGCCCAGGAAACCGTAATGTAAATAATGTTATTTGAACGATGTCACAATTACTTCTTGACCAGTAAAAACAACATACAAAACATGTGGGTGTATTCACACTCCGAACAAACGGGAAGGCTAAATCACACATCCTTACCTCCATGGGAAGTTAGAAACTGTGTGGTCAGTTGAATAACACAGAGGAGTATGTTTAGCTTCATAGTGCCTATTAGTGGTGTCGAGTGAGCCTGGTACTAGCACTGTCTGGATAGGGAATAGAAGGCGGGGGCGGTTCGAAACACGAGCAGGGGGTAAAGGAGATATACGAGAAGAGGCATGGGGCAGTGTTAAAGCTAATGTGATCAGTGACCTGGCCAGTGACTTTCCCCAACCATGCCGACAAAACATTGAGTAATTCTTGTGACTGCAGATATGAGACATGTTATATGCAGTAAGTGAATATGGTTTTACGCCGCTTTAGCAATATTCCAGCAATATCACGGCGGGGAACACCAGAAATGAGTTTCACACACGCTATATGTAGAGTACTGGCTTTGGGGTAGCCTTGTGGTTAAAGCGTTCATTCTCCACGCCTTGGACCCGGGATTGATTCCGCAGGTGGGTACAATAAGAAGCCTGGTTCTGGTACTCCCCGCCGTGATATTGATGGAATACTGGTAAAAGCAACGTTATGGCATACTCACTACTGTCAGAGAAGGGAACTCCTTTCTGCATTATTTCCTGTAAAAGGTGTAAAAATGTTAATTGAATTTGTGGATTTATGTTCTGGTGGCCTGGAAAACACACTTTCTGAGGTGATGCAGTCTATAGAACAGGGTACCAATGAGTGGCTGTAGACTTAAGACTGGCCCTAAACAGGTCTAGATAAACAGATGCTTCAACATAAAGAAATTCCCAATGACAATGTTCCTAGTCAGGTATTCTCACTAATCTGGGGAAGTGGGGGAGGCAAGTGGATAAGGTGTTTGCTCGTCCGGCGGAAGACCTGGGTTCGATACCCCACATGGGTGAAGCTCATTTTCTGGTGTCCGCTGACGTAATTAGCGGAGTAAAACTTAAGCCCACTCAGTGTCACTATCTTGTTCTTCAGCATTTAATAAAACAAACAAGCAACTTGCTGAAATGGTTTATTTCCAAGGTCTACACCTTCTCCACATACACAATCTGCAATATAGCCTACCTCAGTGCTAGTCAACAAAAAAAGTCCCAGTGCCTAATAATACGTTGTCAATAACGTAGACCCACGCCCAACTCCGATCACAGCCGATATGATGAGGCCCTTGCAACCAATGGTGCAAGCGACGACGCCAGTACTCACAACACAACAACCATAGGAAAATGTCTGCACTTGCACCAATACACGGCAGATTCTTTCAACTGCAGCGTTCTATTCCTACAGGGACCACAGTCACCAAAACAGTCTCAAACGTCTTTCCCCTGGGGTTCATGGGATATTTCAATGATTTACATGGGGCTTTCAGCTAATAGGAATTCTTCTGATAAGTATTCCATCCAGTGGACTGAAGGGAGAATTGCCACCAAACATTCAGCCACCTTTGTTATCTAAAACTCTCCCTTCTAACATATCTTGCTGTACTGTAGATTCCCTAAAATTGTGTCAATATTCAAATCTTATTTCAAGCAAGACTGAACGTTCTCTTTTGTAAATCATATATTATTTTGGTTCCATACATTTCCTTAAGATATAATGCAAGGCTATTGTATAGGTACAAAGTAGCCCCCTCCAAAACCTGGATCATTACATCTCAAACTGGTATCCAAGTAACTAGTCTAGAATTGTGTGCGGAAAGGTTCCTGTCGGTTGTAACATACTGCACAGCTGGAAACTCCATGAACACAACTATCCAGTCTGCTGCTGCCATGTACTGGTGCACTAAGAAGGCAGTGTATAATTATGCTAAGTATATCATCCAGTGGAAGAGTTTGATTAGCTACGACAATGATGAGGAACCACCCAGTTAAACAGTGATTGGGAAACAGGTTGTAGATCTCTGACGTAACAATAACAAGTACTGCTTTTTACACAAGGAAATGCATCAGGTAATTAATATATTTGAACAGAATCAAATAATGAATCAAAATATATACACATAATGTTTCAAGAGTGGAGAATATTGGGCAGTCTAAATATATTGTTACTACTGTAGAAATGCATGTGCCAATCTGCATCAACAGAATAACTGTTAAACTGGAGGGATCATAACATTTATCAATATTTTTTCTGAATGAAAACAAATTTTTGCAATCAATTTGTTAATATCATATTCCAGTAATATCATAGTTGCTTCACTGAAATTGGAAACATACCAAACTTCATTTTCATCCATGAAGGAATTTCTTTTTATTGTCCACTCTAAACAGCCTTAAACATGTAGCAGATTGAGTAAATCTAGATTCTGATACAGCTGCTTATAGCTCCTATGTAAAGAAAACATGTACATCACTTCATGGAATGATCATAAAGTATTATTCAGGAAAGCTTTCAACCAATAATTTTAACAGTGATCTGCTTCAACTAGGCCCAAACTTTGATGAACCTGAAAATAATGATCACAGAAATGTTCATGTGAAGTATGTCAAAATAATTTTGTCATTTTCTTTTTGTCAACTCAAAACATTTATGAACCATAACGCCATAAAAGAATAACATAACATCAAAATTTGAGGCCTGTCAATAATATATTCATTCTTAAAAACTGTTGTACAGAGCACACATTGATAGCACTGCTTTTATGCCCACATCAACTCGAACACCTAGCTATTTTCAAAATTTAAAAAAAAGAGAAACATATTCAGGGAAAATATATATGTACACAATATTCTACTCATTTGTTGTATTTGGACATAAAAGATGAAATATCAGATAAATAGACATAAACATTCCAGAATTCAATTCAAGCACCATCAATAAACGTAGTATTTTGGGACTGTCTACTCTCTCCAATAATAAACACCACATCCAAACAACAATACCATTCATTCTTCAGAAATTGATTTTATAAAAAGACTAGATATACTTGACAGAGACAGAAAAGGTCTGAGCACTGTGATTATGGATTTACATGTGTTCAAGGGGAGATAATTAACCCAAACAAGGGAGCTAACCCTAGCCATACTTGCTAACCTGGATTATTACTAGTGCTTTATTCTATGGCTACATTAAGTAATGAAGATTCAGTTTGTTCGCTCTGTCACATGGAATGTTGATATGCTGAGGTGAAATCCATGACGTTTAGTCCATAAAGCGACGGTTGGGGTTCTTCCCGAACAGGATCTCTCGTAGTTCAGGCAGCATCTGAAAGGAAAATTTAACATCAGACTTGAGCGCCTATTGACAGTAGTGTTGGGAATTGGTTAAAATCTCATAATTGATGATTGCTTAATTACAACCGATCAATCATCGAAAATAATTGGTTAGCATCATTTATGAAATTTTCCTGGCTATTTTTGTTAATGCACAAAAACATAAAGAAAAAACATGTAGTTCTTTTGGGCAAATTTCACATCGTGTAAGGATGACTAGTATGTTAGGAACATAATTTTCTTGGGGTCTTTGGGATAAATTCAATCATGACTTGGAACAAGCTTGTAGTGCTCATGAAATGTAACTGACAAAACCAACCTTGTGAAAAATATTGTTAATGCAAAAAGTGTTCCAGAATTGTTGTGTTCGATTCTGAGAAAACATGATCGATTGCTTGGTCGTTAAGTCACTGCGACCAATCTTCGATTATTTCAATTAATTGGACCACCACTAATTGACAGCATGTTTTTTTATGCCAAGAAATATATAATCTACATGTAGATCCGTCTGAAAACCATATTTCAAGATATTTCTTGCAACTAAGGCCAAAGTTATACACAGAAATAATTAAGCATAGGTGGTTTTATATAGTGTGAACTAAAATGGTCATGGATGTACGGCAAGCTGGTCGCAACAAGCCTTGGTTTCATTGTAAGACTAACTGCCCTGGCAAACAGCATATTACACAATACTTGTTAAGGCCTAGATTTCAGGTCTACCAACCTGTTGACTGATGAGATCCAGTCGGCTGTCAAGTGTATTCTCCACCTTGAACTTGGACTGTGAAACAAGCTCCACCCCTCCAGCACTGAAACAGGAATTGATTGGTTGATGCCCTGCATTGGGAGGAGTCAACTAGTCTGACATTTACATCAACGGGCAGGACCAACATCAGCCCACTGTAATCTCTATGATGTTTATATTTTTATTTTGAGGCTGAGAGGTAGCCTGGTGGTTAAAGTGTTCACTTGTCATGTCGTAGACCCAGGTTCGATTCCCCACATGGGTACAATGAGTGAAGCCCATTTCTGGTGTCCTCTGCTGTGATAGTGTTGGAATATTGCTGAAACATCCACTCAACCAAGTCGCCAAGCCTTACTACTCTATTCATTTTATTGCCTCTTTCGACAAACAGAAGTTGGAGACTGTTTCTAACCCTGACTGACTGACTGAGTTTGGTTTTACGCCGCTTTTAGCAATATTCCAGCAATATCATGGCGGGGGACACCAGAAATGGGCTTCACTCATTGTACCCATGTGGGGATTCGAACCGTCTTCGGCGTGACGAGCCAAAGCCACGCCCGTTTCTAACAGGGGATTATCTAAGTGAAAGTACTCACATGTCTGACGGCAAGTAGTTGTCCGTGTCTACTGTCACCTTCACGTCCCTGCCTTTTGTAGCTGTCTTGTAGCTGTCCACCGCAGAAGGAATAGCAGCCTGCATAAATTGAACATTGATTTTAGATTATTTATCATCCTACTGTACATGGGTTTTAGCACCTTAGAGAAACATCCTGGACATAAGTCAATCATCAAACATGCAAAATATAATTCTGAAAATTAAAATACAGATATTTTCTCAGTACCTAATATGTCGGACAACAAAACATAAGGCAACTATGATGAAAACAGTGCAAACACTGGTTATTGCATGACAGACTAAGGTTATGTCAAGCGTGGGAGTAAAAAATGTTGAACACAGGTTATCTCCCTTTGCTGAAGAAACCACGCACCTGGACAATGTCGCGATCCACCTCCCTACATCTGATGGTGACGTTTGTCTCCAGGAGCTGGTACAGACCCTGAAACATCACAAACAACATTAGTTTCTTATCATGGAAACAAAATCATATACAACACAATGCAGTCTGTGATTTCCACATTCATGAGAGTTATCCTTGACTGGAGCATGGAAACATGGGCAGTTATCCTTGATTGAAGCATGGAAGCTATAACCATTCAGCCATTTTAGAAGTTTCCTTTGTTTCTGTTCTATGCTTTTCCTGCATTAACTTTGGAGACATTCTTCCTTTGTATTCATGTTATCACTGGAACCTTGGTATTCATGTTATCACTGTACCTGGGTACTGATAGTTTTCCTTGGGCATTCATGTATGTTTATTATTCTCAGTCCCATCCAACACCTGATCTATCACCTGTGCAACCCACCTGGAATATGAGCCCTTCCAAACACCTGATCTATCACCTGTACAACCCACCTGGGAGATCAGCCCATCCAACACCTCATCTATCACCTGTACAACTCACCTGTGAGATCAGCCCTACAAACACCTCATCTATCACCTGTACAACTCACCTGTGAGATCAGCCCTACAAACACCTCATCTATCACCTGTACAACTCACCTGTGAGATGAGCCCTACAAACACCTCATCTATCACCTGTACAACTCACCTGTGATATGAGCCCTACAAACACCTCATCTATCACCTGTACAACTCACCTGTGAGATCAGCCCTACAAACACCTCATCTATCACCTGTACAACTCACCTGTGAGATCAGCCCTTCCAACACCTCATCTATCACCTGTACAACTCACCTGTGAGATCAGCCCTTCCAACACCCCATCTATCACCTGCACAACTCACCTGGGAGATCAGCCCATCCAACACCTCATCTATCACCTGTACAACTCACCTGTGAGATCAGCCCTTCCAACACCTCATCTATCAACTGTACAACCCACCTGTGAGATGAGCCCTACAAACACCTCATCTATCACCTGTACAACTCACCTGTGAGATCAGCCCTTCCAACACCTCATCTATCACCTGTACAACTCACCTGTGAGATCAGCCCTACAAACACCTCATCTATCACCTGCACAACTCACCTGGGAGATCAGCCCATCCAACACCTCATCTATCACCTGTACAACTCACCTGTGAGATCAGCCCTTCCAACACCTCATCTATCAACTGTACAACCCACCTGTGAGATCAGCCCTACAAACACCTGATCTATCACCTGTACAACTCACCTGTGAGATCAGCCCTTCCAACACCTTCTGGTACTTGGCCTTGTCTTCAGTTACACGCCCTGTCTCCAGTCGCTTGGAGCAGTCCTCAAGCAGGACCTGAAAGCAATAATAGCCCGACCTGTTGATGCAGTTCATTCCAACAACATAGCATACTGGATGAACTGGGCTTAAGTTAAGGCCACTGTAAACAATATCTGAGTCACATAGCTCCTACCACCCACCTTGATGTGGTCTTCCCTGGCCTTCAGCACCCTCAGTCTGGCCTGGTTCAGCAAGTTGGACATCTGACTGTGGACAGAAAACACCACTAGATGCAACATGATCTAATTCACAGGACAGAATGTTAAACATTTACGAGTTACAGAACATGACACCCTGTGCAAAAAGTCTGTGAGGACATTTTCCCTATCCCTGCCCCTCCAGGACTTTCCATTAGCTTCAAACCCCTATCCCTGTTTCTCCCTCCACCACTTTCCAGCAACTGATCTAACACCTCTCTGAACCACTCCATATTTCTCCCCCATGTATCACGGACATCTACCCACTTCTTCTCCATGTATAACGGACATCTACCCACTTCTTCTCCATGTATCACGGACATCTACCCACTTCTCCATGTATCACGGACATCTACCCACTTCTCCATGTATCACGGACATCTACCCACTTCTCCATGTATCACGGACATCTACCCACCACTTCTCCATGTATCACAGACATCTACCCCTTTCTCCATGTATCACGGACATCTACCCACTTCTCCATGTATCATGGACATCTACCCACTTCTCCATGTATCACGGACATCTACCCACTTCTCCATGTTCCTCCTGGGCCACTCCCTTTAGCAACTGCTTTAACTAGGGCTGTAACGATGCATCGAACTATCGATGGATTGCAATTGTTGAGTCTCCAATAGCAATTAATCGATGATAAAAACGAAAAACTATCGATGCTCAGATAGTATGTGTGACTATCGATAGTTTAGTAATTGACTTCTGTTGATAAATGCACAGCAAAATACAGTTAGTACAAGAATCGTTCACTTTGATTGAGAGTTATCTGCCCCTGTTACCTCTAAAACAAACATGATCTGGGTTTCAAGTTTCTTGTCAGTTATTAAAAGAGTCTGAAACTACTTCATCTTGTCTTTATTTCATATAAATTATACATTCACTTTGGAATTGACTTTAAATGAGACAATTGAAGGAGAAAAACAACTACTGCAATAGTACCTCAATAGTTGGTCGAAAAGTTTGTTGAAAAACACTATCACAGTAGTTGCTTCCCCATCAATAGTCAGCCCTAGCTCCAACACTTCTCTGAACCCCTCCACCGACATCTACTAACTCACATCTTCTTGTGTAGCTCCAGCTGCTTCTCCTTCCTCTACCCAAGCCCTCACCACCTCTACCCCACCCCCCAGCCCTCACCACCTCTACCCCAGCCCTCACCACCTCTACCCCAGCCCTCACCACCTCTACCCAAGCCCTCACCACCTCTACCCAAGCCCTCACCACCTCTACCCCAGCCCTCACCACCTCTACCCCAGCCCTCACCTCTACTACCCAAGCCCCACCACCTCTACACCACTATCCAAGCCCTCACCACCTCTACCCCAGCCCTCACCCACCTCTACCCCCAGCCCTCACCACCTCTACCCCAGCCCCACCACCACCTCTGCCCACCCCCAGCCCACCACCACCCTTCTACCCCAGCCCTCACCACCTCTACCCAGCCCTCACCACCTCTACCCCAAACCCCTCACCACCTCTACCCCAGCCCCTCACCACCTCTACCCCAGCCCCTCACCTCACCCACCCAGCCACCCCCACCAGCCTCACCACCTCTACCCCCAGCCCTCACCACCTCTCTACCCCAGCCCTCAGCCCCACCTCCACCCAAGCCCTCACCACCTCTACCCCAGCCCCCACCACCTCTACCCCAGCTCCTCACCACCTCTCCTCCCCAGCCCTCACCACCTCTACCCAAAGCCCTCACCACCTCTACCCCAGCCCTCACCACCTCTACCCCAGCCCTCTCACCACCTCTACCCCAGCCCTCACCACCACCTCTACCCCAGCCCTCACCACCTCTACCCCAAGCCCTCACCACCTCTACCCCAGCCCTCACCACCTCTGCCCAGCCCTCCCACCACCTCTACCCCAAGCCCTCACCACCTCTACCCCAGCCCTCACCACCTCTCCCTGCCCCAGCTCCACTCCTCCACCTCACCACCTCTACCCTAGCCCTCACCACCTCTACCCTAGCCCTCACCACCTCTACCCTAGCCCTCACCACCTCTACCCTAGCCCTCACCACCTCTACCCTAGCCCTCACCACCTCTACCCAAGCCCTCACCACCTCTACCCTAGCCCTCACCACCTCTCCCAAACCCCCACCACCTCTCCCAAACCCCCACCACTCACATCTTCTTGTGTAGCTCCACCTGCTTCTCCTTCCTCTCGTACAGCTCCATGATCTTGACACGCTGCTGCTGCACTAGACGACCCTTCTCTATGTTGAACTCTTCTTCAGCCTACAATCAATACAGCCTCATCCACTGTCAAACATGTTAACTAATCCCTCACTCAATGAAAACAGGCACAAACTCAAAATCTTGTCAGTGAACACATGTCAAAGTGACAAAATCCATGGTAAACTGTATTTACACCATATACTTGAACTTTTGCCAATCTTAGCATGTTTCATCACTGGCATTAGAGCACCGTGGAAGTGGAAAATATAACAGCATAGAGTTGCCATGGTAGACTAACAACTAGTCTCTGAAATGAACATATTTTACAGAAAAAAGGCTCATAGTGAAAAAATCAAAATATAATAAAAAGGAGCCCTGAGACTTTCTTCATTTTCAGAAGCTTTGGAAATCAAGACTTGCCACATTTTCTAGACTTACGTGGGATTTCTTGTATATATTTGCTTCAGGGTCTGTATGACAGACTATTGCCATGGCTACATCTGCAACTCACCTTGGCGTCAATCTCGTCAGCCTTCTCATTGGCCTCCTGCTCTATGAAGGCCATCATGTGCTTGATCTGAAATATAATACAATAGAATGTTGAACAACAAAGCAAACTGAAGCACATCAGCATTGGTGTTGAAATATATATCCGTAACTATAGTAACTACATATTTCACAATTAGGAGGGATTATTATCATCATGCTATTTTAAAAAGTCTTGCTCTGTAATAACTGATCGGGGCTTCACATTAAAAGTTCATATTCTAATTTGTTAGAATTTTATTTAATTTAAAATAAATATATACGACTCCATGAACATTCTTCAACATGGCCATGACAAAAGAAATCATAGAAATTCCCTAACATGGCTGAAGTCACATAATTTTAAAATGTACCACCACTGAATATAATGAGAAAGTTTGCATGCTGACTGGTCGTAAAAGGTTGGACACGTTGGAGCATGTGATTCAGGACCAGGCGATTTTTACACTTTGCCTGTAAGCAGTTGCTGACAAAAATACAATACATTCTCATATTTCCAAGCTCATCAAGCTCATAAAATAACTTTGTCTGGTTTTGTTTTTTTGCACATATTGTTATGTAATTGGCAAATGTAGCAACTGTGGGAATACATGTACAGTAATGGCGTCTTTTTGAAAATATAACAAGGCCTTTCCTTCCATTCTTTTTCACTAATGCATTATTGTCCACCAGTTTCCTGACGAAAACTATTAGGAAAGACCTGATTTATTCCTCCTGGTAAATGACCAACCAGATGTTGTGCAGACCAAACTGACGGATGAACAACAGCCAGCGAGTGGCCTAAAAGTTTGAAAGGGACCTGATTAGAACTGAAGCTAGTTTGATCTATATAACCTAAATTGGCTTTGGTTTCATAAAATCTATATACAATAATCATTGGTCATAATGAACGCAAAGGGACCATATATAGTTCATTATACATATTTTGACTTAAATACACTGTAATTGGCTGGGACAACAAATATTTGATGCTTCCGTCAGTTTGCTATAGATGTAGTCAGGCAAAGGTCTTGTTTGAGCATTTTGAGAAGATGACTTCTCACCTTTATAATTCATTTATTCGAATTTAAAGAAAAGCAAGAGCAATCACAGTTTGATTCTAACCCCATTAACAAATCTGAGTTCTATTATCATCATATCATCATCATAATGATTATGAGTTTGACGTCCCCATAAAGATTGAGGATCATCCCCTCAACTGTTTCAAGATGAAAGCTGATGTACTAAAACTATTTTGAGTTCAAATCTGAATAATAATCAAGAAAACCAAGGTTAAAACTAAAGAACTTTAAATGTGATATTTGTCCCTTGTAAATTTTCACCTGCACAAGTGAAACATGTCAGAGCCCTGTAGTGGTGGTCTATATAAACAGCTTATCTATAAAGCCCCTCAGGCAGAGATTCCTGTGTTGTCAGCTTTCATCTATCACTGCAGTGTGTCCTCTACTTCCTCCACTGACCTTACCACTGCCGTCTTCTCATTACACCCAGTTTGCAATTAACTTAATATTATGGGTGGCAATAATTAAAAAATAATGAATCTAATTATAAGAAATCTGAATAATAAAAGTGTAAATGTGAAATAAAATATATTGTATGACTCAAATTGCTATATAGATCATCATGATTATGCATCTATGATAACACTGTTAATCATTTACTTTGTTTTGATACAATGGAAAATGTTCAACTGAAAGCAGCATGTCTGAATATCCTGTTTCAGTGTTTGTGTGACTCTTACAATCTTATTTCGGATATAAGCACTGGCTCGTTTGTGACTTCCATTTTTTTTAATCCAGTATCTCAGAAATTAACACAAAATGAAGCTAAAGTTTTTGTCCGTTTTACAAAGGGGACATTGTTGAATCTGATCCAAATCAACGATCAATGTGTGTTGTTTTTCATTCAAGCATAAATGATCTGCCACGACGTTCTGTGTGGAAATATTCCATCATCCAGCTGTTGAGATAGTGTCACAGTCAGGTGCTCGCGGCTCAGATCTAGTCAGCTATTATATTTATATAAACCTTTACAGATCGGAGAAAAACAGATTCAGTTTAAATATGATCACGCGGATGCAACTCCTGTTATATTTTCAAAGTCACCCTCACGGTCACGTCAATGACAAGAGTTCATGTTTCTGCACTCGTGACAGGCACATAATCGACATATTATTCGGGGAATCCTGAGATCAAAATACTCAGTCATCTGACTAGTGTATACTGCATCCAAGTACGAAATAACTATTTCGTCTTAATACCGTCGTTTAACTAACCTGCTTTTGTACATCTGCGTCGCTCAAAGCCATTTTGATGGTTGGGGTGCAACAAAAATAAATAAATTTCTGACGCCGACAGCCCAGTCAACTTCTCTCCCGGAAATATAGCCGGTCGTGTGACCACACAAACTGATGACGAAACACGCAAATTAATGGATAGTACTTTCTAAACAACTTATTAAAGTAGAGCGACATCTCCTGATCTTAATGTAATAGAAAGATGGACGAGAAAGCAGTGATACTGCATTTCAGATGTGATGAAAGCTGTTTTATCTCTTGAATATTTGTCTATAAGTGATGACAAAATGACAACTGCAACATAACAACTGAATCTAACATGGGTAGTTAACATTTAAGAAATATTTGACAAGCGTTGATTGGCCATTAGGAACCGTTCAAAATTTATGGCTATGGGTGGTGTGGGGTGATGATGATGTACAATGGGAACACCCACCCCCCCACCCCAAGTTATGTACAAAATAGGTCTTTCTCATTAAAACATGAGTAGGAGTTTATTGCAGGGATGGTCCAAAGTATCATGAACACTAGCGTAAAGCTTGGATAACTTGTTTTGTGCTACGGCTTTATTATGTATATATAGTATTACATGACCATGAAAATGTAAAAACACTGAGTGTTATACTTAATTATAAAACTGATGTCTGATGTATTGGAAGTAAAGTCGACCGCTTTCAGGGAACTATAGTCTGTAGTCTTGGTTTGCATGTATCAGTAATGTTTCCTAACGTGGGTACAATGGCAGTTTAACTCTGTACGATATTATATAAAACCTGCCTGATTAATTTGATCCATTAGTATGTGCATGTATAGCATACCGACTTTATTTCTTACTAAAATACCATTTTCGACGTTTCACTTCCTCCGTTTCAATCCCTTATGTATACGTATGTGTGTTGTAGTTTATTTAACATGTTTTAACAACACAGGAAGTTGAAGAATAAACACGTCGATGAAGACAGTGTCTTGAGCGCCGTGATATTGCTGGAATATTGCTAAAAGCGGCGTAAACTGTACTCACTCACTCACTCACTTGTAACATCAGCAAATCTGGTATCTGGTGCGAAAGAGGGACAAACACTTCAGAATACGCTTCAAATGGCGTACTATACTATACCATGATTTTTGACAAGAAGATGTGTTATATCTTTGTATTGGATCCCAAGGCTGAAATAAGCATGAATCAGCTCGTGTTTCCGCTCCTCCTTGCTTCGACATGAACTGCTTATTGAGTAGTGTATCTCAAGATACTAAGTTGAGCGCTCAACATACTAACTTGTGCGCTCAAGATGTTAACTTGTGCGCTCAATATATTAACTTGTGTACTCAACATACTAACTTGTGCGCTCAAGATAAATTTTATTTCATCAGGTCCCTTCAGCGCTTCCGTAAGTATGAGCTAGTTGTCAGTAAAATAATCTTCCTGCTCTCTGGATGACGTAGAGCGCATAACATCTCTATTTCCCGGAACGGCTGCATCGTCCAACCGAACCATCCGTATAATATCGTGGAGTGTGATGGATTTAACGTAGGTTTGTTGATATATGAATGGACTTCTCATTTTTCGTAATGTCAGGTACACAATGACAGACATTTCTCTTCCTAAACGTCCATAGATTGCGTTCTTGCCTTTTGAAAGCAACATTTACACAGTTACTTATTACTGGTTATATTTCATGCTGACTTCATTGATGACCGCACGGTATTTGACGCTGTGACATTGAGATAACACTCGCGCACTTGAAGAAAGGGCACCTGATCCTTTGACACGGAGATTTATTTTGATGATATACATCTCTGAAATTACTTTTGTAATGATAGAAATTTCAATATTTATCCTCCACGTATATAATAATGAGCCAGAATTAATGTTGGGTTGTGGAGGTATTCAGGTAAGTTTCGGTGTAGATCAATGCCATATGTATGTATATTGCATAATATTCTATTGTGCTTGTTATTGCATCTTGTTTAGATAAATAAATAAATGCAATATTTTCCTCAATGTATTTGATAGTCAGCCTAAGCGTCGCTGAAGGGGTCACTGTCGACATAGGTACTACTGATATGCACCCCAGAAACCTACTGTATACAGGAATGTACTGGCTAGCCAGTACCCAAAACAAAGTCAAAATACAGAACCATAATGGTACCCTAAATGACCATATTCCGAAACCCCAAACCGAAAACGTATACATTTTTTGTTTTTAAACTGATTGCGAGTGGTACTGTGCATCGTAAATTATTTGTTATAGTGTATGATCTTTACAGTGTATGATCTTTACAGTGTATGTTTCTCATATTACGCATCTCATGCAAAAGTATGACAGTTCTAATCAAGAAAACTGCACAATGCGGAATGGAATCGTCCTTGGGTATGTTTCTGTATTCTGGCTTTGGCTTGGGTACGTTTCTGTAATTACACAATGGCATTTAGAAAGTGGTCAAATGTCACTTACGTTATATTTAGGATTACACATTCTTAGTAAAAAAGTTCACATCTGTAGTACCCGTGCCGACACCGACCCTTTCAGCCTAAGGGTCAAGGTTGATTGGTCATTGTATGGTATTTGTTTTTTCGTACCGCATTCAGGCATATTCCTACTAGTTGTTAGGCTCCTTGTTAGAAATCAACTCTAGACCATCCAGTGATTATATCTATCGTGGTAAATGACAAAGTTATAAGCCAAGTCGCTGAGCCTGACCACCTGATCACAAGATCCATTGCTTAATTTCTTATTTATTGACCCAGGGTCCGTAATAGTTGTTGGCTGGTCAAAAACCCACAGAGAAATTTTAAGGCCCCTAGCAGGCAAATTCTCTGACTAATATTGCTGACACTGTTGTGTTTTCTATTTCAGCCAAGGCAGTCTTCATTCCCTAAACCATGAGTGACCCCAAAACACCCAGTCCAGACAAATCGTCATCCAGCCCAACACCAGATAGTTTCTTGTATGAAACAAAATTCATTGTCTTAACCTTCCTCAATCACTTAACCCAAGAGCGAGAGGATCAACAAAGACTAAAATCTGACACACAGAAAAATGTCCGAGAGTATGCAAGGCACTGGAAGACCCGGTCGCTTCCCTCAACTCCACCAAAACAGAGAAGGAGGCCAAAAAAGCCTCAAATATCAGAGGACAAATTTCGGCAGTTTTCATCCGATGAGAACCTTCATCGTCAATCAAAACCTGAATCTGGGCCATCTTACAACAGCTGGGATCTACCATTGTCTCACATGCAAAAAAAATTCCACAAAAAATCACATCGCCAACTTGGTGCTCGGTATTCGCTACAGCAACAAAGCCCAAGCTTCGAATCAACAGACTCTAGCAAATCATCACAATCAGCTCCTGCAAGGGCTCCAGTTTATCAGCGGAGTCTAAGTGACAACAGTAGCCAAGATGGCAGCACCTACATCAGTGATGCAGATGACGAACTGGACTTTTCTCAAGGATCAGCATCAAGTGGTCTGAGAGGCTCCAGGAATAATGAGTTACTGAAGAGTTCGGGGCACTATCTGCGAGTGTCAAGGTTGTCAACAGTGCCAAGTGAGTCGGAACCTGAAGCGGATGCCCAAGGAGATACAAGTACTGCTGCGGAAACTACTGAGCTAACTGTAGATGTGGAGGACATCGCCTTTGACTTGAATGATGATGAAAGTGGAAATGTTGTACATACAGTAGATGATGATGGTGACGTTGTGGATGGGTTTACAGACTCTGATTTGTCTGACCTTGAATTAGATGAGGCTGTGGGTGCGAAGGGGGATAGTGACATTGAGGAAGAGGAGGTTGGGAAGCTTGGCATGGCGGCAGGGGGAACAGAAGCACCTGAGATAGCTAATGGAAATGCTACTGAGGCTAGAGCCTCTTCTGGACCAAGATCAGGGCGACGAGACAGGTTGTTTCTTGACTTGAGTCATTCTTCATTAGTGACTCCACCGCAGACCGATGTGACGACAGTGATGGCGTCACTCCATGAGGAGCTGCAGGAGGAGATGCACTCCCTGGAGTCAGAGGTGGAGGATGGTGAGTTCAGTTTCAGGAACTTTCACAAACTCAACAGGATACGTGTGTATGTGTAATGCGGCTGCTTGTACTAGCCCAAACTGAAGCTGGTTTTATAGTGCTAGCCCATGAGATACCATCGCAGTGATGCATGAATACCCACTCAGACACTATACTGACTCCAGCGACCAGTCCTTGTTGTACATTAATGCTGCGCCAGGCACACAACAAGCGCATATTTTAACGCCTTTTGGTATGGCGCTGGTCGGGGATCGAATTCTCAAGCATGGCGTTCGGCCTAACCACTACTCACCTCACCTTCGCCTCACCATTTAGAATCACATCAAGGTAGTGAGTGAGTGAGCTTAGTTTTACACAGCACTCAACAATAGTCCAGCTATGCGGCAACGGTCTATAAATAATTGAGTCTGGACCAGACAATCCAGTGATCAACATCATGAGCATCAATCTATGCAATTTGGATACGATGACATGTGTCAACCAAGTCAGTGAGCCTGACCACCCGATCCCATTAGTCGCCTCCTACGACAAGCATGGGTTGCTGAAGACCAATGCGTCAAGACAGCCAAATTTAACATTGAAATCTTCTCAGCAGCCTATGCTGGTTGTAAACATGGTGAGAAGCAAACAATGAATTGTGTCATTAGATTAGTTAAAGGCTGCTGTATAACTGGAACATCTCTGACTTTAACAGAGGTACAGATTATATGCTGCGTATATGCGTAAATAATAGGGGTGGGTATTACAGCGAAATTTCATATTGCGATGCGGAAGCATATATTGCGATATGTATTGCAATATATTGCAAGGATTATTTTTTTAGCAAAAACTACTGAGAATCGAGTTAATTCTTGATTATAAAGCAAAAACACAACAAAATCACTATGATTGATTAACCTTTTATAAAAACTTTTAATCATGACAAAATAAAAATGTAAGTAACATTTGGCACTAATGAAACAGGGAAAAGAACAATTAAAAAAACGGAAATATCCTAAGATTTCAGAGTGTTACAAAGTTTTCTGAATGCATGTCAAAATACCGGTTTTCGATCAGCGTGACGTTAACAATGTATCGTTTTCATGTCTGAACCGTAAACCGTAAATAATGCAAATATTTATATGAAAACTCTTAATTCATATTAAGCCTATTGCATACAAGTATGCTTAAATGTTTGTAAATACTCAATAAATGTGATCTTACATATGTATACATGTGTAAATGTCAAATCTTAGCTTGTGTACAAGTGGATAGATAAAATAACTTAGGTATACTGGGAGGTTCTATTTCAGGACATGAACTTGACAACTTGCAGTCTTTCTTATCGTTTCCCATATTACAGATCAAATGTAAATCACAAACACTAACATTTAAACTTTATTATATTTTTAAAATTAATGGAAAATGGCAAAATACCCAATTGAGTTTGAGTGAGGTTAGTACAATTTATTTCGTTACTCAAAGGAAAATTAGGATACCCAATTGAGATGAAGACAAGGGAGTGCATAACTCAATGACCCAAAAAGTTACCCTGTTCCAATTGAGATGAACACAAGTGAGTAGTAATGATATTTATCTGTAATTCTGCAAAATGAAAAAAATTGTGAGCTTGAGCAATGCAGTCCGCTAAAATAGGTTCCTTAGTTGAAGTGATATTAGTTATTAAGAAAATTGTGACTCCCATAGGACAGGAGGGCTCGATTTAGTGCTTTGTTACTTGCACTTGTGCAACCCAATATTACAAAGTGCAACCTAGTTATTAGTTTAACTTGCATCAGGTGCAAGTCAAGTTTCGAGAAATAAATCAACAATAAATCTAACATTATAAGCATAAATATGTCAGCTCATATTTCTTCTAAACTTTGAATAGCTATGGCACCAAAACATTGCTATTTATAGACACCTCTTGGCTGTGACAGCTCCAGTAAACAGGAACCAGCTGTGTCTATGTGTTGCTATGGTTTCATGGGTACAACATCACAGAAATATGTTTATGTGCACCTAAACCTCTGACGTTTTAACACACTACGTTGCAACTGGAATTTGGCTGGTGCAACTAGGATTTCATCTTAGGTTGCACCTGGTGCAAGTAGGTTAACATCTCTTAAATCAAGCCCTGACAGTGATATTGCTGCAGTGGCTGTGTGGATTGGGACACAGACTGTTGTTTTGGTGTTTTATCTCCTGTCTCAACACTCTGGAATACGTTTGGCCATTAAACAATACAGACATTGTATTTACTTGGTCACAATGTTGCTGAAACATTGCAGATGCAATCACACATTTCTGTTGAGATAGTTAGTGTCATGACTCAAAGCAAAGGCTGTGAACATCGTTCGACAGCCTCAAAGCAAGGATGACATGCACATTAGGAATCTGTTTTTGTGAAACCATGATCATCATCACCATGCTGAATACTTCCTCATCTGTGTGTCCTTGTGTATTCTTTTACATGTTGTAACCATGGTAACAAAGTTATGAAAAAAGTGAGCAGCTTTTTGAAAATTGTCAGTGGGCTACCAGGATTGAATATATTAGGCTTCCAAAATGTTTAGGCAATTTGAAAAATGTGCAGATCATCATTTATTTTGTCCTAATAAATTTTAACTAGCCTCTGGATAGCAGGTCGTCTTTGGAATGACGTTCTGCCAATGATACTTGCAATAATAAACATTGTATAATAATTTTCCTTATAAACATTTCAGCTTACCGCACCCATCGTGTAACCAGCTTACCGTCTCCTTTCACGGGCCCATCCTGCCCTTTGACCCCTCATACAGAGGCAGCTCAAATACTGGCCCGAATCGGGGACGAGATTCAGGAGACACATCTAGCCAAAGTGGAGTTCGCCATAGCCAGACTGTTCAATGAGCAGTCTTGTCTTACATACGAAACATTCCGAGAAGTTGCCAGATCGGTCGTTGATGAAAACATTCCAGGATGGCGACAGGTAGGGGTAGACGCTGTACGTTGCTGTTGGTTGCTACGGGTCCACAGATAGTGGGATGTGTGGAGCGTGAAGTAGCCAGTCTCTATTCAGAGTTGGATATGATGGGAGAAAACCTGATGTTATTCCTTTCAAAAGTTTACTTCCCTGGGGAAAATTTGTTCTAATGTACAAGCATGCTGGTTCGTAAGGAGTGTTTTTTGTAGGATTCCAAACTAAGGTTCCTTTGTAGGTAATTTGGGAAAAAATTGTAAGTTTTTGCAAAATTGGGATATAAAGTATTTATTTTCTTTAATTCAGAAGTATTTTATGTGTTTTAGGTTTTATTTTAACATACAGTTCAACACATGATATGATAAATATGATATCGATAATGTAAGAATATGTACCAAAACATATCACTAGCAATGTTATCAGTGAAACACATGTCACCTCAACAAAGCTAGGACCTAGGAACATGTTTGGGACTTCCATTATTGGAGTTGTTCCTGATAGTTGCTGCAGATTTTTGGACAAGTATAGGTCCAGATCTAGGCCTGAGTTGCTTATCTGAATCCCTCATATGCCACCAGCAAGGTTCTGACTAACAAAGATAGTTTCTTCTATTGAGGTTGCCCTTCTCCTGCTCTACAGTCAAGGTGTGGCATTCAGGATGGCTACAGCAGGAGGGAGTGGCATCAGTAACGTCGTGGACTACTCCGTCAAACTGCTGGCTGACCTGGCTGCAGACTTCATCATTCAACAAGGAGGATGGGTAGGTACTGAGACATTAAGTAGATATATCAATTTGTAAAAGTGTGTTGCAATTCCAATATAATTTTAAAAAATGTTTGTAGAGTGTTTTCCATGATACTGAACTGTCACATCAAACTTGATGCATTCTCTGAAAAGTCTGATATTTTAAAACTTTATGTTACCTCACTTTTAACGACTCCACTGCTGATATAATCCGTGCAAGTCTTGAGTGCACATTAGTTAAGTTGCTGTGCAGAGTTGACTCCCTTAGTCATGCCAGAAGCTTATTGTGGTTTCAAAGACCAGTTTGCCCTGATGGTTGTTGATTTGCCACCACCAAACTTAGGAACACCTGAGACCTGTATCACCAGGGAGATCCTCCCTTTTAAGAATGACATGCCATGATATTACTGGAATACTGTTCAGAGAGCATTAAACCTTACTCACTCACTCTCTCATTCCGGGCGGTGGGGTAGCCTAGTGGTTAAAGCGTCCGCTCGTCACGCCGAAGGCCGGGTTCGATTCCCCACATGGGTACAACTTGTGAAGCCCATTTCTGGTGTCCCCCGCCGTGATATTGCTGGAATATTGCTAAAAACGGCGTAAAACCATTCTCAGCCAGCCAGCACTCTCTCATTTGCTGAAGATAAACCGTTATTGATTGGGACAACATGTTCCGATAAATCCCCTTTTCATAAATGGTGGGGTAGCCAAGTGGTTAACGCGTTGGCTCGTCATGTAGAAGACCCGGGTTCGATTCCCCACATGGGTACAATGCGTGAAGCCCATTTCTGGTGTCCCCTGCCGTGATGTTGCTGGAATACTGCTAAAGCGATAAAAGCTAAAACTCAACTCACTCATAAATGGTGGTACTTTTCTTCCTGCTGACTGTAATAAGAATATAGACAAGGGAGGTAACTCTTTGACTAATCATTCTTATGAAGGGAAGGATGGGTTCAAATGGACCCTCTTTCTGGTCCAAGTTGCCCTTAAACTATATCACCACCATTCTTATGAAGGCTGAATGCCTCTTTTATTTGGTTATGTCCTGACATCCTAGTTGATTTGTTCCAGAGTGGACTGGTGTCAACAGAATCAAGCAGCTCATGTGTAACATCACCAGAACTCAACAGCCATCTTGTCAACCCCCTTGCCCAGACTGAGGCTCCTGTCACTGCACCTGCAGCAACATCAACAGCAACAACTGAACCAGCAGTCGGAGACGACACCGTACCCAGTCAGGATACATCACCAAGTCCTCCTCAACAGTTATCCAACGGAACAGATCATGTTGACATTGTGTCTGATGGACCAGCAGATTCAGACACTTTCCAGACTCTGACCAGCTCTTCCCAGACGTCTGCTGACAGTGCTAGGGGAGGTAACTCTGATCAGAGCTCCTGGGTTCCATCCATGTTCTCAGGGAACAACAGTGTGAGTTATGTGAAGAAAGTGTCTGCCACGCTGGCTTTAGTGTCTCTGGGACTTGGACTAGCCTTTGCTTTTTTCAAGAGATGATAACCTGTGCAGGTTGAAGTTGTTGTTTCAGAGTGATCTAATCACCAGCAGCATCAACACATCTTCATTTCTTGACTGCAATAGAATGATGTTAACATAAGCCATCATGGTTTGAGTGGTGGATTGAATATTACTTAAATGTAAGGGGTAAGCAGTAGTTGGGTCTACTGACAATCCTGGCATGTTTCAAACATTCAAACCAGCATTCTCTTTCATTAGAATCCCCAAAACAAATGTTTTTCAATCTTCCAGCAAATAATGACACTTGTAATGCAGAGATGATGTCCTACTGTCACACCAGACTCACTTGACATGGGTTCAGACACTGAATGATGGTCCCCCTTTAATTAAGGACATTTTGAGAGCAAGGACTTTAATACCTGGGTTTGAATTCAGTCCTGCCAAGTTAGAGCTGCAATTTGCAATTTGTTGTGCAGAGTTGTATGCCAAGCTTGCTTGGTCATGGAGATGACAAGACGTTGTGGATGATCAACTTCTTTATATTCACAATAGCGACGTTTCGATATAGCTTCTTGTACCGTTTTCAAGCAATGGTATAAGACGGTATAAGAAGCTATACCGAAACGTCACTATTGTGAATTTAAAGAAGTTGATCATACATAAAGTTTTGTCATCTCTATACCACCAACTTGTATAATGCCACTCAAACAAATTGCTTGGTCATAGGTTTTGTCAGTGACGCATGCTCATTCATTCACTGCTCAAAGTGTTGTTCACCGTCTCCCTCCCTCTTTCACTCATTTATTCACTCACTTTTGCATAATCATTCCTAACAACTTTTGAACCATTCTGTTTTTGTCATTCATTGTATGGGGCCTTTACTTGACTGTCAGTAGCACAGTGGTTCATGTGTTAGCTTGCCATACCAATGGGTACAGGTTCTGTGACCTAAAGAAGGTCAAGTCTGGTTTTGAAGGTGGTAAGATTTAAAAACACGTGATGGGACTGTCTATTTTCATATCAGGTTTGACTGGTGCTTGTCATTGCAGAGTTGACAATCCATTGCAGTCAATCACATAACTATTCAAGATATTACAGTGGAATCTGTCTAAACTGGACTTGTGTTTGACCTTATGTTAAGTCCAGATTGGACAGTGATTTGGAGTAATGAGATTTTAACAGGAGTTGCTTCCCTTGCTGTGAGATGACGAAGATCTTCAATATAATATTATTTTTGCTAATTTTACAAGACTATTTTTTATGTTCTATTTTTTTATGTTGTTTACAAATAAAGTCAAAGAATATCTTTATATACCTTTCATAAAAATCTGTTACTTCATTATTATATGTTACAGTAACATCTGGGCTGTAAATGTAGTCTGGTATTGAATAAGATCTGGATTTGTAAGTGTCCAGTACAGATTCCTGTATTATGATAATATGTCTGCTATTTTCTTACCACCAATCTTCATTTATTTGCTAATAAAGGCTACAGATAAAGTCTATGCTATAGAGTCACATGGAGAGAGAGGTGAGGTGAAATTGGGTTTATCGTCGTGCTTGAGAATATTTCGCTCATATGACGACCTGCATGCGTGTGTGTGTATGTGCGGCTGCTTGGACTAGCCCAGACTGAAGCTGGTTTTATAGTGCTAGCCCACTGAGATACCATGCCGCAGTGAAACATGAATACCCCACTCAGACACATTATACTGACTCCGAGCCGACCAGTCCTTGTTGTACCCATTAATGCCGAGCGCCAGGCAGGGACCAACAAGTACCATATTTTAACGTCTTATGACGCGGTCGGGGACATGGAGAGAAAATAGTCATAGCATGTCCATTAACATACAAAATCGCATTGCTCTCTCTCCATCTCTGCTATATTTTGAATAATGCTTTTGTTATATGATGTTATTAACATTTCAAATGGATGTGATGTCATTGGTCTTGATTAGTTGATAAGTCAAACTGACATAATCATGATATTGGGGTGTGATATCTCTCATACACTGGGGCCAGTGCAGCTTAGACCTATGTGGTTGTCGGAGGTAACAATGAATTGGGTAGTCAGGTTGTCAAGTCTTACCATGTCTTTAGATTTACCCATCTTAGCTTAGCTAAACCAAGGTTTCCAAGTGGTGTGAGCCAATCAAACATGCTGTTTCATCTATGCATACTGCAAAGCTCCTGACAGGGACAGCTATGAAAGTGGCACACTGTGATGTGGAGCCTGCTCTAAAACATATCAGTCAGGTTTATTGTCTCAGTGCAAACAAGCTTGCAAGTGACTTTCATTGACAGATGATTTGTCATACTTGTTTAATGTGGGGGGGCGGCGGGGTAGCCTAGTGGTTAAAGCGTTGCCTCGTCACGCCAAAGACCCGGGTTCGAATCCCCACATGGGCAAAATGTGTGAAGCCCATTTCTGGTGTCCCCCACCGTGATATTGCTGGAATAATGCTAAAAGCGGCGTAAAACTAAACTCAGTCAGTCAGTGTTTAATGTGGGTGTATTGCTTACGATATAAGGTTATATTGTAATTAGAATCATGCACCAAATTGCTGCCCACACTTGATCATCCTTGTGTCATGACTGTTCTGTATGTGGCAATACCACACTAAAAATAACACTGCCTCAATCAGGGCAAGTTTTGATATGGAGAAGTCATGGGAATCTGTTCATATATTTTCATAATCAACAAATTTGACAGATTTGAGTACTAAAAAATGTCATCTTGAGATAATATTTGTGTATAAATATGCATCATGACCTATATACACGTCAGTTTTACTTGTGAATGTATGCTCAAAATAGCCAGTAAGTCAAGCATCACAAAAGTAACACGAAGACAAAAAGAGTTTTTATTCTGGTTTGTAACAAGTTCCAGATATTATCCAGGTTGGTAGTTAATGTTTCTTGATGGTATGGCTGTTTTTGTTTGTTTTTATGAAGAAAAACAACAAAAACCAACACCCCAGCTCTCACTTGGCCAACAGGGCCCCGGGAGAACACCAGCCTCCTAAGGGAATGCTCTAATACCATGACAACTGTTGTATTCAACAGAAAACAATGGCTTCCTTAACTATTCCAGATGAATGTTTGTTGATTTTGGATGTGAGCTCGATGTAATTGTATGTTGCATAACCTGTTTATTGTTATTAACATGAATAACATTATATTTTGTAATTTGTTATGTATTAAGTAATTGCCTGAAGGACGATCAATCATAAATTTACAAGTGAGATGATCAAATATTTGAGTTAAGTCATTTTCATAATTGTTAATATTTTCAAGGGTCACAGCTACTCGCTTTCATTTTGTTTTTGATTCAAAATACGGTTATCAGCAGGAAAAAGCTGTGAAAGGCTGGAATCTACTTTTAACTCATTTTACTGTTCAAAATATTTGGGACAAAAGATAATGTTCCATTACAATGGATGCTATATGTCTAGCAAGTACAGCCATGGATGTCATGTTTCTTCAGACAGAGGCCTACATTGACAATGACTGTATAAACATGGTGATATACTACCCAGGTTTAGGTCATGGACTTTGAGTGCAGTGTAAGGTCTTGGACTCAAATCAAATGGCAGACTACTCGTTGTGTCGTTTTGTGATTTATTTTGGAACTGGGTTACTTTTGCCATTGTTTATTTGTTTACATTGTGTATATGTTAAATTCAGTCTCCTCAGCTGGTTAACCAACATCTGGATATATTTCCAACCCGCATCCTCACCCTAGCGCCCTAGTGTTATCCGACATCAACTCGGACATGTAGACAGAAGTCGCAGTGTGAAAAACTAACGCATTCATCGTTTTAGCTGTATTGCAGAAAGTGGCTTTGACCATGACCTTGCCTTGTGTGACACTTAATGTGACCATGAACTTTGCATATTTCCCTTCGAAAGGGCAGTGGACACCAAACGATCGCAGATACACATAATTAGAACGAACATCTGTGATATATTTGACCTTGTGTGAGACTGATGTGACCTTGAACCTTTTATGCAAATTGAAGGGCAATAGAAACGGCAGCAAAAAACACAACCGGAGATATGCATGATAAAAACTATCACCTGTGATACACTCATTGATGGAGTTCTATTGATGATACCAGTTGGGCGCTTCTTTGTATTTGATGATTTTGTGAGGTGCATAATGTTAGAGTTGCAACTGTTGCGGTAACAAACAATATACAGAGTATCCCATGCTGCTGCGAGTGAATTAGGGTTATCAAATAATCGTGCGCTTTACAAAAGAAATCTGTTTCTTACTCATGAAAATGGCAGGCAGTGAATGTCAAGGCCATGAGGCCATATCTGTAAGATAAAGCTTTGTTTTATTTGTTATGGTTTTGCAGCTTGTTTCAGGTATTGACTGCTTAACCTTGACTAGTGGTTTGCTGGTGTTGTGTTCAGACCAGCTATGTCCGCTGTGCTCAAACATTTCCATAAGGACATATCAGTCATTTGTTATGTTTTTGTATATTTATTGAATAAAACCAGAGACCATATTGGTCTCTTATAATACTCAATTGATTATTGTTTTTGTACTGACGCAAGTCGGTGTTGTACGGAAAGTGGTAAAATGCTGTTTCTGAAAGGGGCCAGTTTATTTATTGTAGGAGGGCTCAAATGTTTGATGCACTAATGATGACGCTCCCATAATGCGTGCCACAAAACGCTACCCACGTATTCAAAACTAGCCTCAAATAGAAACAAAATGTAACAATGAACAGTTTCTATGTGACTTTAATGGGTTGATATTGAGGGCAGTAAGCCGAAAGAACAGCACGTTTAATGTCCATGACATTGACGTGACGAGTCCAAATGCTGGCCAGGGGGCAGTCATCAATGTCACAAACTCTGTAACGGTTATGCCCAGCGTGAGCAGCGAGAACAGCAGTGCATCACCAATGCATAGAGTGAGTGAGTTTAGTTTTACGCCGCACTCAGCAAAATTCCAGCTGTATGGCGGCGGTCTGTAAATAATCAAATCTGGACCAGACAATCCAGTGATCAACAGCATGAACATCGATCTACGCAATTCGGATACGATGAAATGTGTCAACCAAGTCAGCAAGCCTGACCACCCGATCCCGTTAGTCGCCTCTTACGACAAGCATGGGTTACTGAAGACCAATTCTTACCCGGACCTTCACGAGTCCGATGCATAGAGTCTGTCAAATGGGGTATGGAAGGCTTGTGGGATGGCTTGTCATATTCTCTGCAACTCTGCTGGCAAATCACGAACGTTATCATGCGTAAGATGTTGCTCCATTGTATCCCACATATGCTTAATAGGGAGAGATCCGGCGACAGGGTGTAAAATTTAGACATACTAAAGTATTGAGTATTCCAGTTACAATTATTCGGAATCATTGCATATATCAAGATAGATTGGACATGTTAATAGGTTGGTTTCAATGGTATTGATTGAGAATACTTAACGTCTTACTGCTATGATACCCGTGAAGAACCGGGTTAGACCTGATCTTAAGCAACCCACGATTGTCGTTGTAAAAGGCTACAGGGTGGTCATGCTCACCGACTTGGTTGACACACGTCAAAATTGAACAGATCGATGCTCACGATGTCTGTCTCTGGACTGTTTGGTCCAGATTCGATTATTCACCGTCATATGGCTGGAATATTGCGCATTGTGGCGTTAAACAACAAACACACGTATCGCACTGTGGAAGGGTTTGGAGTGGGCTGTTTGTGACGCCATGCCCCAGCCAAGGTATTTTATTCCCAGTTGCGCCCAACAAAACATTTATTTTCTTGACAGAATCAACAATTTACTTATTTTTGCATTGAACGCATCCTCGATAATCTCCAGGGTATACGTTACGATCACTCTCCACTATACCCTGGATGCCAAGCGGATATCAGGGCTATAGTGGGAGTGATCGTAACGTATACCCTGGAGATTATCGAGGATGCATTGAACAGGGACGTTTGGGTGTCTTCCTCAAAACAACCTCTTTTCTTTTTCTCCACACCAAACACATTTACACATTAAGGGAGACTAACCATTCATTTAGTGAGAGCCGTACCCTTGTATAGTCTGTTTTGCGGTGAAAACGTACCGATGAATTTCACTTTAAACAAGAAAGTAAAATCCAAATCAACAGTGAAATTAAGATTGCGAATCCTCATAATTTTAGCCCAGCCAATTGAACATTTGAATCTCAGAATTTTATTCATCATAGAATAAAGTTGTTTAACAAACAATCATAGATTCAAATCGTTATTATTGGTTTGTATTACAAGGGAGTAAGCGCAGTAGTTGGAACACTGAAACAAATGCGCGTGCGGTACGTGATGAGCGTTAACTTAGACCAACCCCTACTTGTTCTCGGTGTTCATTTAATGTGCATACACCCCTTGTAATACAAACCAATAATCACGATTTGAAACTATGATCGTTTGTTAAACAACTTTATCCTAAGTTTCAATAAAATTCACGATATTTAAACTGTTCAGTTGGCAAGGTAAAATTATGAGGATTCTGTAACTCTAATCGTCACTTTATTCGATTTACTTCTTGTTTAAAGTGAAATTCATCGGCACGTTTTCACTAAAACCGGATTTATAGCTTTGTCCGAGCCACAACTCAACAAGGTATAAGCGGCTGTCATTTAGCAGCATGGGGTGTTAAATGTTTGAATCGACTCGTGTAGTATATGCTGAAGAACAGTGTCTCCAATACGAAGTCTTAGGAAAACCCCGTCTACTTTGACAAGAAATCCTACAGGTTATGTTTCTTTTTCTACACGTGTGGTGGTGTATGTGATGAATCATCAGTAAAATGTGTGCACTCTCCTTTTTGAAATTCCTGTTCCCGGGTCACAAAAAATTATGTCGCACATTTTCTTCGCATGGGTGGTCTTTATCTAAATTGTGTCATTTCTGATTTCATGTGGACATTTGACCCCTCAAATCGATACCACGGTCATTGAGGTAAAAAAATCAATACCAAGTGATGATACACACAACGTTCGTTAATCTCCACAACGGGCAATAATGTAGATTAGTGAGATCCCCTGTGCTTGTTACGGTAGGGAATACCAGAGAATGGTATATATAATAGATATGGTCTCGAAAAATAATTTATCGTTAGTGGTTGTGGTATCAGAATGACCAGTCTCTCCCATATTGCAGGAGTTGCGAGCGCTTCGCCCGCATATGGAAAGACTGGTCATTTTCGTTGCGCAACCCTATTTGCGCCTACAATTTGCCTGTGGTGCGATATACTGACTCTATTGGTATAGATAGTATAAGCGAAGCTGTTCTGTTTGCCGTTGGAATGCAGTGTTGCGCTTTTGAGCCCCACTTCTGAAATTCATCTGTTCCAGTGAATGCTGGTTATAGGAGGAAGTTGGTGAATGGGAAACAGTCTTGGTAATATAGATGCCATCATTCAGTCACAATAGACTTCCGCTCTTCCAAAACTATTTGACGCACCAGAAATGGGTTTTCACACATTGTGCATGTGGGGAATCGAACTGGCCTCGGCGACGAGCTATCGCTTTAACCACCAGGCTACCCCACCGCCCCCTTCGTCGGATAGGGGAGGAGGAATGTATGTATCGTCTCTTAACGTTGACCACTTTGTCGAAACCCATAAGCATGACACATGTTGAGAAACCTGGACTCCGTGAGGATGAGTTTTGGTTTCGAACCTACCCCAATAGGATTCTGGCACCTCTAAGAAAGCAACTCTGCACGCTTAGACGACTATGCTCCTGGTGTCTCTTTGTACCCGTGATTCATTTGGCTCTGAAATGCCGGAAAGGTCCGTTCGCCGAAATTCAAATCACGAGTTAACCATTCAGCGAATGCCCATAGCAAAGCATGGTTAATGTGCATTGCGTTATGGAAACACGTCAAGCCGCACACATCTTGACGAGAGACAATCGGATTTGTAATGCTTGAATAGTTTATGGTAAGTCGGTGTTTGGATAAAAGCTGTTAAAACGGTTCCCCACCATGCGCGGGTGTTGCAGAGGAGGGGTGATTCGGAATATGAGGGTAATGCTTCAACTGTACCAGCAGTGAAAATTACGGTCCTGCCTGGACCAGACAAATTCACCATTGGGCATTAGCAGTGGTTAATGATTGCCCGGTACCATGTTGTTCTACCAGAACTTGAAGCACAGGTGGCCAACCGGCGTTGTGCAGGACAGAAACGTATCACCGTATGTTCAAATCCCTGTTCGTGTAGGCTGTCACATCACATCCTCGCCACCACCAGTCGTAAACGCCAATAAGAAATCTATAACTGGATTACTGTTCAAAACAGCGTTAAACTCCACTCACCTATCCACCATCAACGTTTGTGTCAAGGTGAAATGAAACACACTCTTTGGTTGCCCCAATGTATTGGGATGTGTAACTGAACAGAGTGGGATAACGGTTCCCGTCCCATCAGTTTTATCAAAACTGACTGACTGGACTGAGTTTGGTTTTACCGTCGCTTTTAGCAATATTCCAGCAATATCACTAAGCGGGGACCACCCGTGAGCTCTTTACCCCATTGTACCCGGCTTATCAAAACAATGAATTAATCGGTCGTCAGAAGTACAACAACCATCAACACCTATCTTGTTTTGATGTTTTATTCCGTTTGGCTGTAATTAGCAAATACAGCTCTTTGTGGTGTGGTCTGTAAATAAAATCGCTACCAAACAAAACAGTTCAAAGTGTTCATATGCTGAGCATCGATGCATCGCAACTGGCATACGATGACACGTCAGCCAGATCATCGGGTCGACCTAAATGATCCATTTTGTCGTCTCTTACGAGTTACTTGTTATCTGCCGTTTCTACTGGTAATTAATTATGTTGTTAAAAGTTCCACCTGGGACCCGCTGTTCCACAACGCAGCCTCTTTGTCCCACGATGATCGTGTAATCCTTTACGTTAAAGACCTTTGGCAGTTACGACTGGCTTGTGTGAAGAAAGGGCCAAGGTTATGACTGTTGATAGGGTACTGGAACGAGCCTCTGAACCTTCCGTCCAGTGAATCTTCTATGGCCACATGCCAACTTCGTTATGTATTCAACAGGCGTTCGTTAACATGGTAAGGGTTATATTCACTACACACTTTGGTAGAGATTTTGAAAGAGAAAGAAAGGCAACTCAGTATTTCAGATTCTCTCAGGTTAAAAAATTCTACTCTGTGGTAGTTCTATGCCATCACGATACAGTTGCAAGTACAATAATGGGAATAGATTTGCATGTAATATCTAAAATTGAAAACATGTGACGAAGGATGATGTGATTGTGAAAATGAAACGCTCCAATTCTTTGCATTCCACAGACAAAACGAACTAAGGGTGATGATGATGATGATGACAGATGATAACCCCATTTCCCCAGCAATGAGCCTCTCGAAATGTATATTCTAAAAAAGCAGTATTGATGAAATAAGGAAAACAGTTAATATCAATTATAAGAACAACGATACGTGTTGATGACAAACCTAAGCACGAACGTTGATGTTTCAAACACCAAAAACACAGGGGGCCAAAACGGTAATGGGTGTCATTCCTGAATTTTATAATACATTCAAGGAAGAACCAATCTCTCGTGGACTATAATGTCAAATAATCTTATTGATTCTGCTTATCATACAACCGTGATTTACTTTATTTCCCATTCAATGTTTGTGCATAAATTAGTGACTGAGTCAGTCTCGCAACGCGCGAACAGCTTGGGGCTATTGGCGTAGCGGAAAATGCTTCTGACGTCAACGTGCAGCGCTCAATACGTTTAATGTCACACAGTCTCTTTGATTACCAGTACAATGGAACAAGTACAAAAAGTCGTGGATTCACTATCCGGCAGTGGACACCGCCAAGAAATCGGCCTAGTCGGCAAATCAAAAGACCGGAAATGCTCAATAGGCTGTTGGAGTACGAGTTATAGGTCAGACGATTTGCACGTCTGCTTCTGCAGGTCATGCCTGATGCTTAACGCACAAATTGTCATATTGGCAACCGACAACAAATGGCGTGCAGGGACATCGAAGCTGGCTTAACCGTTCTTATTCACGTGTCTTGTTTGTAGATGAAACCTATCTCACTTGTACTTCTTTTTGATGGGTATATAGTCGTGGACGCCTCGGTGTGGGGTAAGTAAAAGCACTACAAACTCGAGCGAATTCCAATCAATATTGTGCAAGGAAGGCTCACTAAACAGTACACAAAAGGCGACCATACTGGCGTGCATCTTTGCGTGAGCGTTATCGCTTCATCTCTTCAGGACAGCTTCTATGCCAATCTCCAGCAGCATACGACACATCCATAGACGCCATACGTCATAGGGCATATCTGGGACATGATAGACGTGTCTCACCCCATGCAGTACACCGACCGCCGTTTTAACTTGGAACGTAATGCCTTTAAAAAGGAGTAGATGTGACTCCTCTAAATCGCCATCGGCAAGACATATAGGCAGCATACTTCGAATGGCATAATGACGAATGAACATGAATGTGGCGACAAATTTGGGACGGCATATTCTGGCAGGTTGAAAACCAAACTGTCACATTTGAATTACCCATCATCAGGATCGTTAATAGGTTTACTGATCATCACAACATCTAACACTGTCATACCTGATCACCTGCTGTAAATGTTCTCCCAGCGCTCTTTTATGTTTATCATGACAGTCAGCTATTATTGCTAACTACAGGAAATACAAGGCTTTCAGTTTTAAAAATATTTCACCAGGTATCCCTAAGTGTTTTAAAAAATATGTTATGTTTGGTAAATGGCAGTTTAAACCATTCCCCAGTTTAATATTCCCTTTGAAAATCTGATAACTCGCTTCCCTTTGGAGCCAACTCGCTACTGCTTTCTTTTGTCTTCAACTCGAATGAAACGAAGCTAGAAAAGAATTATTCGTGAACTGTGAAAAGCCTGGGCTCCTGTAGCGTAAGTATAGTTAACCTAAGTGGACGTTTTCTGCCAGATTACCTTCATGCAACAAACGCTTTATTGCTCTTTGTGAAAGTACTGTCAGAGAACCGGAAATGGTGACTACTTCCTAAAGAAGCTTTGGTGGTAAATTAATCGACGGTGATTATGAAAACGGGAATTCAGACATAATACACCTGGATTCTCGAGGGGATGGGCTTATTAATACGCTTAATACCTCGAAAATTATTTCATTCTGGAAATGTACGTTGGTATCCCCTGTACGCTCCATTTCACATATTCGTTCATTATTCCCTTTGATGATGACATCCACACCATTAATGGTGTCATCATATGCGGTTGCTCTTGAGCCACCGATAATGTCACTGTCAACATTGTACACCGACTCTTCTTTTCTTATCGCATCTTTACCTGCTAAACCTCCTCGTCTGGACACAGGCACAAACAATAACTGAAATTAGTTTCCAGCACTTACGCTTACATAAATTCTTTAAAGATACATTGTACACATCGTCCAGTATAGATATTCTATGTGTCGTTCAGTGAGGGTCTTGCTTTGCCACCTGCACTTGGGTCTTTTCTCGAAACTTCCTCAGATCCTGGGCACAACTGTTGTTGATTAAGATGACAACATTGTCAGGCTGTAACTAGACACTTGAAAATAAAGTTAAGCACCGCTTACTATATATTTCCATGAGATGGATGTTTACAAAACACTTTTTGTGCATACGTCCCAAACATATCGCTGTACAGGAACAAATCGGACCTGATCAAAATGACATATACTCCAAACGTCTATGGCACTAGTTAATTCATTGCTCCATGGCATTTCTTGTGTCATATTGCAATGATGAGTACCATTAGAGTAATATGTGGTAATCTGGTACCAACTGTACTGCAGCTATCTTTGAGTACCATTTGTTTCCGTCGAGATCAATGTCATTTGTACGCATCCCCCCGAAGGTTAGATGGATGCTTTTTTCTAGGGATATATGAAGTAAAAGCGGGTAAAGTTTAACTTTTTCCAGGTGTATAAGGCAACATCCCGCTGCAGAGTCATGGGTCCATGAAGACGCCTCAAGTCCAGAAAGCGATTAAACCGTAATTTGGGTCACAAAAAATATACAGCTTGTTTAGAAGTCTTCGTTTGGTGCGTTTTACAGTTGATTTGATGCGTTTTAATGCAGCTATGTCAACGAAATGATCACATGATGATCATACAGCCGTACCTCTTGACCACACTCTGGCAAAAGACTCTGACCAGGCAGATCTCAAACCAGATATATAAGTCTGTGGTTCGGACATTTCACATTTGCCTGTAATAGTTTTATCGTGATATTTGTGCTTTATATCACCTACCGGAGCTCACATCCAGGTTTACCATCATTTTCCAGTGCCTTGTCTTCTGAAGTCCCCTCGTCCTCTTTGATACTCGTTGTTGGTGCAAGGTGAACGTGTGTTTGTCGCTCCCTCGATGGTGTGCGTGGTCTTGAATCGAGTGGATGTTCACCCTGTGATGCAGATGTGTCTTTCTTTAACCTAAAGTCTGATTATTGAGAGGTCTCTCTTTTCCGGAACATCGTTCTTCCGGTGAAGGAGACAGGTTTTAATATCCTCATCGGTTTGCTCTGCCGCCATTGCTGGTAGATAGACATTCACCCTAACCTCTCCTCGGGGAGTCCAGCTGAGTGGATCTCCGGGCTGTCTGAGGAAAGGAAAACGAGTTCTCGCTGCTGCCATATGCCTTCCTCGCGCACGTTTCTGGAAGTAGCCTATCAGGAGTGCTGGGAGGCGCCGCGGGCCTTCGTCGGACCAATCACCACTGTCCTTACAGTGAGGTGACGTCTCACCTACAAAATGAATCCGATTTGTTTTGAATTGCTTTTCTTTCGCACAAAAATAACAGGACGACTCGCCTTGAGGGTAGAGTTCCAATGTCAGTTGGTGGAATGAGACTTACCGTGAACAAGGATTCTGGCACTTTAAATTCCGACTCCTTGACCTCTTGTGAGCGCTGTGTCTGGGTGACCTACGCCCTTAGATATCGTCCTACCGATCTACAGCCGAAGCATCGTAATGATTCCGAACAGGGGAAGGCTGTCGCTGAACATCACGCATTTGTTTTCTCCACGGTTGCGATAAATCCCCTCGATTATCTCCCCCTTCTCCTTTCGTCAGCGCCCCTTATCCCGCGAGAACATCCGGCCGGGAATGACCCTGACCCCGTTGCTGCACCACTGCATGTTCTTGTTCTGCCCCTTGTCTCAAGACGGGGAATGTTGGCAAGGTCACGATAAAGTTTCGACACAGAGATACATAAATCACCAAGGTCTTCTGACCAATCGCAGAACCTAGCGATGCTCACGTGACTTCTAGGCATGGTTACACCCTATTGAAGGATACCTCGCTGACCTTGACCGCACCTGCGGAATGGATGGAATTCCCCATATGACGTCACTGGGCGCTGTAGCAGGGGACTGAAAGATATAAAGCAATATTTAATGCATTGTGACAAAAAACATTTCTTTCAACACATGAACTGAAATTCGAAATAGATGTCCCTGTGTTGGCTGGAAGGGAAATGGGTATCATCATGGCAAGATTAACCCATTATGTTTACGGCGTGTCGTATGGTTCGAACTTTCAGTCTACCCATGCAGCGAAATCTTTCCAAGACGTAAGCTTTAGACGACGATCAATAAATGCATCTTCAGTAGTCATAAAGGTTTTTAGTATAAGTCAATGGTTAACTAGTCGTTTCGCTCGCTCTCTTATCTATACACACATAGTAAGTCTCCACAGTGCCTGAACCGCATTATTTTCTCTTCTACCAAAACCCTTTTGCCAAGATAAAACCCTAACTGAAGCAAGTCTACATTTCTCAGGTTCTGTCTTTTTCTACATTTCTTCAGAGGTCGGATTAAAGACCGAACATATCAAACTCCCATGACTGGCTGGACCATCGTCTCTGGACTCACAGTGCTCTCTGAATTGTCCATCTCAATAGCGTCTCCTCTTCAATTTAAAACACTATCTCATAGTCTAGTACACATACCATCTACGACACAGACACCTACCTGTCTAAGACACAGACACCTGTATATCTAGGTATATCTCTCGTCACTTACCTATCTAGGACACTGTCAACCTTTCTGTCGATGACACAACCAACTATCTGTCTAGAACTCAAGCAACTACCGAGGAAACTGTCTCCATCTACCAGTCTAGAAAACGTCACCTACTGTCAAAAGCGCTGAAGTTCTATTTCACCTTCCAACCGGATGTTCCTCCCATTCCCCTGACCCCCAAATCGATACCGGTTCCAGAAACATGTAACTACACTGTTATTATCCTCATCCAACCAATCACCGTATCGATCTTCAAATATAGGGGGCTACTCAAAAGTTTCATAACGTGTTAATGTTGCAATTTGAATCATCTGCATTGAAAGAAAACGTTATAGTATACTGACTTTTCAGGATAATCCACAACGTCAGTTTTCTGATAGAGAAGATATATTTGCACAAGGAAACTTGATGATAATGTTTATCTCCATAAAACAGTTTGAGATGGCCCCTAAGCCACTGACGCCCATCGCAGGGAGGCACGTGATGACATCAACAATTACGTTGATATCACGTTCCAAGGTAAAGTATGATCCAGGATGCTTGTTAACAACATAATTATGTTTCAGATGTAGTTCTCGCAACACATTTTGAGAACATATTATTATTACATAGTGCATATGATATATAATCATGTGAAGATAGTATGAGATATCACTAATAAGTATGTACCAACTTCTAAACGAGTGAGTGAGTTTAGTTTTACGCCGCACTTAGCATTATTCCAGCTTTATGGCGGTGGTCTGTAAATAATCGAGTCTGGACCAGACAATCCAGTGATCAACAGCATGAGCATCGATCTGCGCAATTGGGAACCGATGACATGTGTCAACCAAGTCAGCGAGCCTGACCACCTGATCCCGTTAGTCACCTCTTACGACAAGCATGGGTTACTGAAGATCAATATTCTAACCCGGACTTGAAGGAACATATGGTGAACATTTGCGATGACTATCTCCGGTTCCATTGATCGAAAAGACATCCAAATTACACGTGTACAAATATGCAAATTCTACATCGGTATCAAAATGAGGAACGTTAAAATTGGCCTTAACAGTTCATATGTTGGACTTAAGCAAGCGGTGTATCTGCGTATGTACGACTATAAATATGCAAATACGATTAAATTAACAGCTTATCATGTAGGGGAGTATATAGGCCTGTACGCCACTATTTCAGATTTGGACTGACCCTAATCTTCACGCTTCAGTCAGCCTTTATGTGAACATCGTAAACTTTGCCGTGGTTGAAGTAATGTCCTCTGGTAAGATATAACTAATAAGTATGTACCAACTTTTAAATGAGTGAGTGACGGAGTTTAGTTTTACGCCACACTCAGCAATATTGCAGATAGATGGCGGCGGTCTGTAAATAATCAAGTCTGGACCAGACAATCCAGTAGTCAACATCATGAACATCGATCTGCGCATGACATGTGTCCCCCAAGTCAGCGAGCCTGACCACCCGATCCCGTTAGTCGCCTCGTACGACAAGCATGGGTTACTGAAGATCAATTCTAACCCGGATCTTCACGGGTATGTAAAGTTGTAGTTTTTTACAATAAGCTGTAGTTCATGAACAGTTGACAGAACTTTTGAAATTACTGCAATATAATGTGTCTTTGACAGTAATTGTCACATAAAGATAATAATTAATTTTGACATAGCCATGCTGTTTTCCAACAAGAACAGAATTCCCTGAACTACTCTTCAGTTCTTTTCAGGCATACGTACTCCTGAGGTTAAAAATGACTTGGAGCACTGACATACTATACAAATGATATATGACAAATATCAGAGAATCACCTTATTCAATCACAACAGTACTTACTTTTCCCGCTACATGTAGGTAATATGGAATACTCCCTTCGGCATCGCTTCTAAACTGTACGCTGTAGGAGACTTGCGTGGAGCCTCCCGTGACACAATGAACCTGTGCTCCGAAGTCTACATGTTGAAAACTGGTCATTGAATGAAACAACGTTCTATAAATAGATCTTCTGTGCTATCTGTTCCACTACAACCTACCTGAACCATCTCAGTCTACACAGCCATACCTGTACCCCCAACAACTCTAATTACACTATTAGAGCCCACCGCACAGGTAGATTGAGCCCGTGTCCCTCACCCTGAAAGTGTATAATCGCTGCCCTTGCACGGCACAGGATTACACAGAAAACAGACCAGACCCCCAGAGAGTGGAGAGCGTTACCTACCCAGGTGTAACAAGTAAGACGCTACCTGTCCAGGTGACACAGGTAAGAAGTTACCTGACATAGGTAAACTCAGGTAAGCGTTATTGAGCCCAGAGAATCCACTGTCTAAAACGCTATTGTTGAGTATGGTGAATGAAAGGGGCTCGTTGAGGTCAAGAATGTAGCATGTCATGGCAAATAGAAATCAGATATGGCCATGTACATTTAGTCTGTAACACTTCTATACGGGACATTGTGCAGCACATAATGTATCATTTATAAATGACATGACGTTTTACACATGATTTGTCAAACAGGCACTTGTTTGTAAAACGATATTAAGAGGTTTCTAGTTCAGAAATTATACGCTACTTTGTGGCAAGGCGTAAACGGGGGATTTAAGTGCTGTCGATTAAACGACGAATATTATGTGAGTTAATTGAGCGTATTGTTTATATTGATGACGAATGTATTGTCAGTAGAATGACCTCGCCCCGTTCACCCCACCTGATTTTATCCCCATCAGTCGCGCATGTAATTGGTGGCCTTAGTTACTGTTGGTGATGAAGAAAATTGACTAGAGACGACTGTTTGATGTAAACATGAATTGGCTGTAAAATGATTACAGGAGAACGGTGAACTAAATGTTCTTTGACAGTGTTCTTTCAAGTGACATATGGTTCCAATATAATACTGTATAGCGGCAGGGTATTAAACGTTTTCCCTCACAAGGGTTTCAAACTATTCGAACATACACCTGATTCTGTGTATCTCAAATCAAGGTATTTCGTTGTAAAGGCGATAATATCGGGAACCGTTTTTCTGGAATCATTTATCATCACCGTCGACACTATTTCCAACTAAACCAGACAGTCATTTCTGGTGTCGCTCCCATGTTGTGATTTTTTTACTACCTAAAGTGTTGACTATCCATGTTGTAAAGATTTGTTATCGCGGATAGGGCATTATTGTACATATCGCCCACTGTCAGCTCCCCTTACCGAGCTGTGCTGGAAATAATTGTCCATTGTTCTATAAGCAGGATCCACTTGCTGTCATATCGTGCCGAGATCATGTTGGTGTCGTGACACTCGAGCCACGTCCTTTCCCTACCCCCCACAGCGTACCCAACCACCCCACAACCCTGCCTCACCTACCCCACAGAGAGAGTGAGCTCTGGGATCCTTCAGTTATCAGAACGCAATGTTATCATCGTTCACTACAGGGATCATCTGCAATTGGTCAGTTCGTGACTTTAGATGAGATCGCCATACGTACAGAGATCACCTTGGTGATGCCCTAATATATTCCGACTGCCCCAAAGGCTCAATGATAGTCTTGTATCATAACTATATTATATACACTTCTTCTACATTGCACGGAGTGCATTCTTTAGTAGGAACACGTCAATCAGGGTAAGAATCCAAGGAAAGGAAACCCGGTAGTACACCGAAGAAGGGAAACCAGGGATGGACTTTAAGAAGGGGAAAATTAGAGGGTTGACCAAGGAAAGGAGACAAGCGAAAGGCTTTTAAGGAAGGGAAAACTAGAGAGGAATACCTCGGAAATCAGACCTGAGAAGGGTAAAACTAGATAGGAATCAGAGAAAAGGAGACTCGGGAAAGACTTAAAGAAGGGGGAAACTAGATAGGAATTCCTCGGAAATCAGACCTGAGAAGGGTAAAACTAGATAGGAACCAGAGGAAAGGAGACTCGGGAAAGACTTAAAGAAGGGGAAACTAGATAGGAATTCCTCGGAAATCAGACCTGAGAAGGGTAAAACTAGATAGGAATCAGAGAAAAGGAGACTCGGGAAAGACTTAAAGAAGGGGAAACTAGATAGGAATTCCTCGGAAATCAGACCTGAGAAGGGTAAAACTAGATAGGAACCAGAGGAAAGGAGACTCGGGAAAGACTTAAAGAAGGGGAAACTAGATAGGAATCCGACGAAAGGAGACCAAGGAAAGATTTTAACAAGGAGAACCTGGAAAGGAATCGGGGAAAGGAGATCAGGGAAAGATTTTACGAAAGGGGAAAGTAGAGAGGAATCCGAGGGAAGGATACCAGCAAAATACTTTATCAAGTGGAAACCTTGAAAGGAATCCGAGAAAGGAAAACAAGGGGAAAACTTTAAGAAAGGGGAAACTAGAGAGGAATCCGAGGGAAGGAGAAAAGGGAAGGACTTTAAGAAGGGAAAACTGGACAGGAATCCTAGGAAAGGAGACAAATGAAAGACTGAAAGATGGCAAACTAGAGAAGAGTCCGTGGAAAGGAGACCAAGAAGGACATTAGGAAGGGGAAAACTAGATTAGAAAACCCAGCTTATACTGTGAGCCGTCACCAACATTGAACAATCATCTCTGTCTGTTTACGAGCAGGCAACAAGGACTTTTTTCGCAGCTAGAGCTTAAAACTATAACGAATTCATCAGCAGCTAAAACATTAATTTAAACTGTCTAACATTAATGTAAATCGACATTGTCATGCTGACTATAATAGTTAACCATGGTTCTTTCGGTATCATAACATGTTGCTTCATCTTATCACTAGTGGTGGTCCGATTAATTGGAAAAATCGAAGTGGTCGCAGTGACTAAACGAGTGCAATCGATCATGTTTTCTCATAATCGAACATCAATTCTGGAACCTGTGTCTATAAACAATATTTTGTCACAAGGGTGGTTTGTCTGTTACATTTCGTAAGCACTACGAGTGGTTTAATCATAGATTGAATTTACTTAAAAACTCCAAGCGAGTTCCTGACATACTAGTCATCCTTTAAAGATGTGAAATTTTACCAAAAACCAAAAGAACTTTGGTTTTACGCCGTATGTTTTAACAAATTCATTCCACGCAACATCGATGATTGATCGGGGACCAATCATCAAGAAATGAGATTTTAACCACACACTTATACCCATGTGGGATTCGAGACATCAACAGCCCTGTGTCTTCGGCGTGACGTTGGTGCAAGCCAACGCTTTAACCACTAAACTACCGACCGCCCCAACCTTGTCTTACTTGAAGCTTACACTTATACTGAAACACGAAAGTCAAAGTTGTTTTATGGCGACATGATTCTCAGGATCTTATCCAAGAGAACTAGAGGTGTAAACTATTCTGACGAATCCGAATTGTGTAATTAGTAATACACACGATCAAAACCAAATGTACATTCTACAACACGAATACTTACAATATGTATCCAGGAAGATAGAATGAGCACGGCGATATATTCAGCACTGTATAATCCAACCACTCCCGCCTTTGCCGCAGTTCCATCATCAAAGACGTTTAACACTTGCAGCATTCAAGAGTCGCACTCAGCATCGATCGGGGAAGTCCGTGACCAAACCATGTGGAAACTATTTTTTTCAATTTCCCCCAATGCGTCACCATAGTGTATCCCGTACGATAATTCCAAGGAATCGATCATTCAATCTGTTCCTTAGCCTGGTCTATTTCATTGGCTGACATGTTTTGAATGTACATACAAATTTACGAGCGGGCATATATCCTGTAATGTTGCACGTGGTCGATACCTCGGAGCGAGTGTAAGACACTGGGCCTCAGGTGGTCTACGTTTGTCTTGGATTAACGTAACGGTTAGCGTTCAATGTTTGTAATGATTCGAGGTGTTCGATAATCGATCTTTGCTAAGGATTTACTTCAGCGCTTCTCCATAATTGCAACAACACATAAACAGCGTTGTTACACTCCGTGATCTCTGGTGTTAATGTTCAGGTAAACAGGGCTCTACCTTTAACGAGTGCACATACATTATTCATGATTTATAAAATACACGAATACCTACTATTGCATGCTGTGAGTGAGTGGGTGAATGGGTTGGTAAGTGGGTGCGTGCGAGCGTGCGTGCGTACGTGCGTACGTGAGTGAGTTAGTGAGTGAGGATTAATGCAGCTTTAAACAGTGTTTCCTCACAATGTATTCTGCGGGTGAAATCTCCACAGTGATACAGGTCACAGATGTGATGCAAACATTTACAACTTTGCTGTAACCAATGGGTACGGGTGTGGTGCTGGGTTAAAATCAGGGCGAACTGAGGGTAACAACAGAATAGAAGATTGATCGGACGTGGATGTGTAAAGCACTGTTGTCACCAGACGTGATACTCTTTGATTAACCGAGAACTCAAGTTAGTAAGAGCGTGCGCCGTGACGTGGCGTGGCGGGGCGTGCTGTGGCGTGGTAAGAGATGTTCATAAGTTTCGTGAACACCTTGTGCCACCCCTGAACAGTTATTCATAAATACATGTTTCTGATACACTCTGAATCTTTACATGCTTTTGACAGAGATTTGATATGACTATGACTTTTTTCGCCGGTTATGTATGAAGTGTAACCTGGCAAATATTGTGTTTTTAACAGAGCAAGGTGGAATAGAGAAACTTGTTTGCATATTACAATAGCGGAAGCCTCGCTGTGTCATTTTATTAAGAAGGTGCGTGAAATCAGAAAAAAGATTATTGTTTCTAAACGTTATTTGGTCAGTTTTGCAGCTATTCTCGGCTGTGAAACCTAAACAATGGCTTTGAACACTGTACCCAGTAGCCCAAGACTTCACCACCGACAAGCAGTCAAACAAAACAGAGCAAGCGAAATCCTATTTCAGCATAGAGAAACGCGACGTTAATATAAGGAAAAGGTAAGCCGTTGTACCCGTCACCGTGAATCTTGACAACCAATACTTATATCTCTCCATACATTATTTGACTGAGGCACTATGTCACGAAGGGATATCATTGACTGGGGCAAGCATACACCAGACACAGACAAATCAGTCGAAATAAAGCGGATGAGAGGTATGAACCTCCAATGATTTAAAGAGACACTAAAATAGACCAATTTAGACACGGAAATACTTTAGTCTGCCAAGATTTTGTCACTTGAGTAGTGGCAAGTGCTTGTACTAACACACTGAGGTGTACAGAGTACATGATCTCCTGTACCTGCTTTTGAGAATATATTTATCCCAATTAAATTTTGCACCAAGTTCGAGTGTATTTCAAAAGTTCATCTCTAAATTATGCTCTGCCTTAGGTGTGTCTGACATAAGTCCGCGCGTGTTGACATTCAAGTTACACGCTGCATCATTACATCTGTTAAATACCCATCTTTGGTCATTGTCATTCTAAGAAGGAAAGTTTCCTTTTACTTACGTAAGTAAATATACTTACGAGTATATTAGTGAGTGAGTGAGTTCAGTTTTACGCCGCTTTTAGCCATATTCCAGCAACATCACGGCGGGGGACACCAGAAATGGGCTTCGCACATTGTACCCAGGTGGGGAATCGAACCCGGGTCTTCGTCGTGACGAGCGAACGCTTTAATCACTAGGCTACCCCACCGCCCCTACGAGTATATTAACACACCGAAATAAAGTGTGTGCGTGCGTTTTCACTATAGACGGCTGTGCTCCAGCTAAAATACAGGCCCGTGAAGATCCGGTTTAGAATAAGTCTCCAGTAACCCATGCTTGTCGTAAGAGGCGACTAACGGGATCGGGTGGTCAGGTTCACTGATCTTGTTCGACACATGTCATAATATCCAATTTGCCTAGATCTGCGCTCATAGTGTTCATCACTGGATTGTCTGTTCCAGGCTCGATTAACTACAGACCGCCTCCATGTAGTTGGAATACATTTAACTGATGTGTTAAATAGCAAATAAACAAACAAATAGTACAAATTCAGTGACGGCAGTCCCCACTGACAGTATTTGAGGGATATACTTTGGTACCAGTTCCCAACACCTCAAATCTGCTACAGTTTGGACCCGAATACAAATGGTCTTAAACAGAAAAAGCAAAAAGTCTGAGGTCGAGTGAAATAGATGAGTTTCTAATGCGGCCTTAACAACAGTAACATACAATCACGCAAGAAAGAGAACCCAGGATCCCGATCCGCAGATCGTTTTTAACTTTACGACTTGTCGTAACTCTATAGATTCGCATAGGCTTATGAATGTCGTAGCGCTTCTTACGTTTTGTGGATCGGGACCCGGGCTTCTTGGCGTCAACAGAATATACACTTGTCACTGTATCAGATAATCTGGACTAGTTCAACTTATCACTAAGCCTTTGTATATAGTGTGGGCACAACAGTATACACGTGAGTCTCAACAAACAAGGAACGGTTATTGATAATGATGTATTTGACACGGGTAGCTTAATTGAGCCTTTGGACCTTCAGTGTGCAGTTTTCGGTGACTGCTAATAGTCGAGTAACGTTGTAATTATGCTTGTAATGTTTTGGTCAAACCTAGTTTTTAATACTGTATTTTGCCTGTCTTAATGGTGATTGTACGGTGGTTCACCGTGACAATCACAGACTGTAATTTCACTGGCAACCTTGAAAAGACAAAAGAAATGTACACTACTGAATAGACCATGCGCGTTTCAATAGTCGTTAGTGAGTAAGTTTAGTTATTCCGCTTTTAGCAATATTCCAGCAATATCACGGCAGGGGACTTCACACATTGTACCAATTTGGGGAATCGAACTCGGGTCTTCGTCGTGACGAGCAACGCTTTAACAACTAGGCTACCCCACCGTCCCGACGATGCTGTAAGGATTCTTGACAATTATTAACTCATGTAGTGTCTTTAACGGATTATCGCTAAAACATTGGCGCGGTTTCAGTTAACCACTCCATCAAAAGAAAACACACGGGCATATCTGACTGAATATTCACCGCACACGCACGCACACACGCACTCACACACACACAGCCATTTCAAGCCCAATACATCACTCTCAGGTTATTCATTCAGGTCTCTGACTTTCAGAGGAGTTTACGTTGTTTCCCAGCAGGTATTGTGAAGAAAGTGTCAACACTTCAGTATTGCCGGGCACGGAAGATAGGTCATGGTTTCGTTACAATGGACGCCTTAAAGTAAAGTGGTATAATACCCCCTGTTCTTCATACAAAGATTGGTTCTTAGTTAAACAAATATTTCTCTACTGTAGAGAAACAACAGGATTGCAATTCAGAATAGGTTATGAGTTTTTGAGAACCCAAGAATGTTGGAATTATTAATTTACGTTCAAACAAACTCCAACTTGGATTCAGCAATGACGTCAACTCCGTCTGGCATTTTCATTCTTAAATCATATATTATTTCATTCACTGGCGTTCGCGTATCATCTGCGTGATAGTGTCCGAAGGGGCGTTAATCCATACCCCCTCACCTGTTGCATACAGTAGGTATAGCAAGTGAGGTGAGGTGAGGTGAGGTGAGGTGAAATTGGGTTTAACGTCGTGCTTGAGAATATTTCGCTCATATGACGACGTGCATGCGTGTGTTGGTGTATGTGCGGCTGCTTGTACTAGCCCAGACTGAAGCTGGTTTTACAGTGCTAGCTCACTGAGATACCATGCCGCAGTGAAGCATGAATACCCCACTCAGACACATTATACTGACTCCGAGCCAACCGGTCCTTGTTGTACCCATTAATGCCGAGCGCCAGGCAGGGACCAACAAGTACCATATTTTAACGTCTTTTGGTATGACGCGGTCGGGGATCCAACCCGCGACCTTCCGCTCTCCAGGTATAGCAAGTATGCACTGGGGAGTGATACATGTGCAAATCGTATACTATTTATTTATGATCATGGTATAATCGGTATAGTACCATGGACTCTGTCTATAGTAGGGTTTTCCTGTGGAAAGGCTTTGGCCACTTCTAAGGTATTATCATTACAGCATTTAACTTAAATGTCACATCTAATCCCGGCACCGTCTTCTTACAGAAACTATCGCGATCGAATACTTCCTCATCTTCTGACACATATTTAAGCCTAATTATATACCTTGCAGAATTTGCATTATAGTTTAAATACTCCTCTATTTGACAATCTGACCTTTGACAATTGTTGTATATATGTTCTTACCTAAGAGCCATGTTGGTTATCCGGAACTGTTTAATGTAAGATCGTATCTCCATGTTTATTCCATGTTTTCTCTGGTTAATAACAGTTATATTCTTTTTCTATAAACACGTGTTCCAGTTAGAAGTAGGCTATCATGTAACGTGAGTGCCATCACTAGAAGTTGGGCCATGTCCAACCCATTACCGAGTTGTTGATTCAACCAGACAATCAATCACTGTATGTCGTGTACATTTCAACCATCGCAAGTACATGTTGATAACAGAACAAGTCACCTTTACACCGTTAGAATTAAATTACCTGTACAGTACAGACTGTACAGACTGTCAGTCAAACCCATCTAAAGAGGAGTATGGGGGATTTCTAAAATCACTAATCAATATCAAAGCAATCACCGGAAAGGTCTATCCACACCGATGGAGGATCGTGTAACAACAAGTCACCTTGCAACCGACCGTGTCATTAAGTGT